CGACTCTCTGTTTCCCTGATCGTCCTGCCAAGGAATCGCTAATGAGAATGATTTGTATTCAGGTATACAGAACACTCGAAGCGTATACAATGTGTCTCGTGTAAGTTGAACACCGTTATTTGGGTTTCTTCTAGTGGAAAACGATCGTGTTGTGTTTGACATAAAATATTGACATTGAGAGAAACGTCGCGAGCGTTTATACATATCCAGGTTAAAGCCAGATCGTAATGGATTCGATAATGCGGCTGAGTTCGCGTGAAAATGGAATTTTCTGCTTCCGACAACTTCGAAGCTTGCGGAGACGCTTGCGTAGCAAATGAAAAATATTATTTCCAAGCAAAAGAGATCTCTACCAACCCTCCTTACTCAAGGAACCGTCAATATCGTAGAGTTCGAAGCATTCTCTAAATTGTTGACCAGATTTAAAGCTAGCAGTTTGTGTACAGAATACTAATCGATTCGGGCACGTAATATAAGGGAAAAATGCAGCTGTGGAAGCTTGGGCATAAATTCTGCTCCGAGTCACTTACGTGTACTCTACAACTTTATTCCTCGCGTCTTTGTAGCTTCGTAATACTATGTAAGTCTTGTGTACTCTAGAAGTCTTTGAGCGAGTGCAATACTATGCAACTCTTGTGTACTCTAGAACAGCCTGAGTGGCTGCATTCTCTGTAACCCTCTGTGTAACCACTACAATTGTCCTGCACCTTGAATTTAAAGATGTCTCTGACGCCTCGACACTTCATCTTATCTCCAACACCCCCGGGACTGGCTTCGCTACAAATGAAACTTGAAGTCGGAGTCAAAAGACGAAAGCTTCGGACCAAGTGAAATATATGTAGAACTATTCAAAGATTACACGAATCAATTATATTAATCAATTATGGAACAACAGTTTTACTTCGAGAATATGTAACAAAAAAAAAAATATAAACTTAGATGTGGTATTGTTAATTTACATGTGCATAGATAAATATTATAGAAACGTCGAAAGAAATGTTTAACGGCATGTATTTAACGAAACAGAGCGCGATTACGACTCGAGGGAACCAATAACAGCCCCCGTCGAGAGTTGAGCGTGACCGCGTGAAATATGGAACGCGGAAAACCGTGTTTACACGCATTTATCCGCTTCCGTGCGACGAATCCTTCTTTTTATTTAACCGTGTACCGTGTTATCGTGACTACTACATGCGAAATCCGGGCACACTCTTTGCGAACATTTATCGGACATTCCCCGCACGTACCGTGCTGCCCAGAACGCCTGAATTTTCATAGATTCTTACGCCACGTATGTAAGTCGCATGCACGAAGTGTAAAAATAGTACCGAGTTGACGAATATGAAACTTTAATCGTTACACTTGATGTCTTTTCATGTTGACTGTCAGACAAATACTCATGAAAATTTCTGCTAGGATTATATATTATTTAATCAAACATGTCCCTATAGCTCGGGTACCACGGGATCGCTAAACCCGTACTGTAGCTACGATTAAACATAGTCATAGCCCCTGAGGGTTGAAATGGTATCGAATAGGACTTTGCGTCCTATACCTCCACCTCTACCTTGTCTTGTACCTCCGCGGTTTTATTTATCTCCGTTCCGAACGGCACGAAGCGTGTCATAAATAATGAATGTTCCTCGACTCGTCGCAAAGGAAACGTATGGGCAATTAGCGTGATTACTTCCGTGAGAAGGTACAATATTTAACGACGGTAAAAGAGGGAGATATGGAAATAATGTGTTACATACCCGATACGCTTTACTGCCCCGTGAATCACGAACGTGTACAAAATATATGGAGCGCGGGCGTTCTAATATGTTCTTCACGCGGGCTTGGAAAGGCTCCAGAACCTCTGGACTGTTTCCAGTGGTTTCAATTCATTTGTCGATTACGTCCAGTAAATTAACGCTTTTAATAACTCCCTGTTTCGTTACTCTATTAATCATCGTGATTTACTGTTTCGTCGAATGCAATCTAAGAGGCGCTTTTAAACGGACATGTACAGGGTGCTTCCGAAATAGGTATCATCCCGGGAACGTATTATATTCGTTCTATCGTGAATTACAATTTGGGTTATTCGATCGCTAAGACACCCTGTGAGCGATACACGTCTCGCACACTCTATAGATCTTCGAGACGACGTCTATTTCCTGCATTTTTCGAAGTGTTCCATACGTTTCACGATCAAGGACGTCAACCACGCCTGACGTATCGAATTATCGCCGCAACGACGTCGGGTTCAACGAAATGGGCGAACCGGAGAGCGGAGAAAATGGGATCGAGGGATTCGAACGACCCAAACGATCCACACACCAGCCACAAAAACCATCCTTTGCATTTCGCGACGATTGGATTTAACCTCGGACAAACGCTCGATCCTGGCACCTGGGCTTGTCCAAGGAGATTGGATCCCATTGAATACGGGACCTTGGGATTGAAGGGTCCACCCTTCCTAGACGCGGCGAAGGAGTGACCGGTAGGGTATATAAAATAGTGTACCGAGTCACTTACCTGGTATTGGATTGCTGCCCCCCAACCCCTTCATCGTTCATTCGATGAACATGTATGAACGAAACACGACCGAAGACGGGCGAATTATTGACCAGTCGGCGTCGATGTCCTTTTGCGCGACCCGAATAGCGAGTGGACTCGAATTCGATCTAGCAAGAACGCTCGACGCTCTTTAAGCATCCTTTTCATGCCTTTGTGCCGAAAATTTGGAATCCTGCTCTTGGAACCGACAAAAATGCCATGTTCCCGTCCTACCACTTTTAATCCTTTGCACTCGGATGTCTCTTCTGAAGGGTCATCGTAAGTCCAGCAAACTTTATTGGTGATTGTACAGGATAAGCCTTGAAGGTTTCCATTCAAATATCAGTATAAGAAAGTAAGATGTGAGAGTGGAGAGCGTTAATCCAACATTTTTAAAAATTCACTTTGACTTTCTATTCGACTTAGGTATTATTAAAGTACTTCCACCTCGTCATCTCCTCATTAACTTCTCTCTCCAAAAGTACATAATCACGAATGGAAACTCAAATCAAACGTCGACCACCATCCCTGCGACGGTCTCATCACCGAGGATTACGCTTTGGCTAAGTATGTCAGTACTCGATCCAAATTTAGGTTTCGGAACCGACGAGCTTTCCGCGGTGACTGTTAAGTCCAATTTAATTACGTATAGACGAACGAATCGAGATCATGGAATCAGCGAGAGAGATTGAAAGTTATCTACTCGAACAATTCGAAGGAATCAGGGTCGATAGTCTCGATTCGATGCGAGGCGCGAGGTAGCAGTCAGAATAGCAACGTACCTAATAATCCTTTCCGCATTGGATTACCTACGAAATGACAGACTCAAATAATCACTTGAAACCGCGAAGTTTAACCAGGTATGGTATCGCGTAAATATGCAAAGTAGGTATACAAGAGATAAAATAATACGGACACCTAGATTCGGACGGACTGCTTGCAGTTGTGGAACATGGGGGTTATTTCGTGACGATCTGAGGGTCCGTATCTTAGTAATAGTATGCAGCTGACTTTATCACGCCCTGAATGGTCATAATACTGCCAGCGGAGAGCACTAAGATAAACTTCAACGCCTCCTCTGGCCAACAGACTCATCTGATTTGAACGATGGTTTAACTTCGATACCGTCTAACCTGCCATCGACTAATCATTGTATTACTTAAAAGTACTAAAAGTAATAATACGTATACTTTGAACATACTTCGTCTATTACGTGAACTTTAACGCCAAGTATCATCGCGGATAACATCGATGGAATTCTGGTATGGAATTATTGATCACCTTGCCTGTGGTTTTAATATCGGTAACGAAAGTTTTTGTTACTTGGATTCTACGTGGGTGGAAGGTGAGGCGAGGTATGAGAAAAATGTCAATTACACTGACAATTTCCGTTCAATATATACGAACAAGGTAGGAAGAATGTGTCTTCTCCCTTTCACATTTTCTAGGGAAAAATGGAATCAAAGGAGTAACGATGTACATAAGAGACACGATATTGGAAGGTATAACCCCGTGTCATTCCGTGCCAGCCACGATCCTTACATTTACCGCGGTTAGGTATATTTCAGAGGACTATCCCCGATATACGGTTTCGTTCGCAGAAATTACATAGCATCGAGACAGAGAGACTTCGAAATACGTTCGTCGAGGATCCTGTATTCCCTAGCGAATTTTCTACACGAAGGATCGTATTGCTGTATGAATATAATGAGGCTAGCGGAGCATACGATCAAATGAAAATTATTATCGTTGTACGACGGGTATCGTTCACGAATAGATAGCTTTGTTGTAATATCAATTTATCATTATTAATACGAGATATGCATCGGAAGATACGCTACTACACGTAAATATTCATCGAACACTAGGAGTAATTATTATCGATCCAAGTGGAGAATTCCCCTTAGAGAGACCAGCCAACATGGTGTAATAAGTTTAGAACGTTCGATCGAACTGCTGAATGATCAAACAGTTGCAATTAGATTCTAAGAGATGAGAGAGAGAGACGGGTTGCTAGCGAAACTGAAAAACAAATATCGCCCTCCTTGGAGAAGGAAAAATTGGTTTTCGTTGCAGTTGTCATTCTTTACATTGGCGAATCTGGCTTTATCGAGTACCTTTCTTTTTATTTCAAATCAAAAAATTTTACATTCGCATGTTCAAAAGCTTGTTGAATAACGTGCAAACGTAAAAGGTATACCCGTAAACTGTGACAACATCGTAGCAATATATTTATTACGTTAGCGTATGTTTCTCTTGTATTGCATGTTTTATATTTTCACCAAAAACCACGGCAAGAGAGATAAATAATATTTGGAACTGGGCCACGAGCCAAAAGATGCTGAGAAATACCTCAGCTTGGCGAAATCGCTGGAACTTATTAAGAGCTGAAATCTCCGAATTTCACTTGGCCGTTGGTAAAGGATAGAGGCCATACTAGACTAGTTTATCGTGTCACTTACCAAATATGGGATTTCCACGGTGGGTGGCGAGACCACCAAGCGTGAGCACGTGCGAGTGATCCGCTGTCACGACGAGTAGCGTTTCCGACAGGTCCACTTCCTTCATCACAGCCCTCACCGCTTCCTCCAACGCTAATGTTTCGTCCAACGCTCGATAAGCGTTGTTATAGTGATGCGCGTGGTCGATTCTACCACCTGGAAACATATAAATACATAAACTGCGTCAAATCATGCTTGATATACGTACGAAGCAATGGTAACAATGATCCTCGTACAAAATTATAAAGATAACGAAATGTATAAATGCGACTGCCGTTTAATCTGAAACAGTTTTAATCTAAAGACGAAATAACAAGTAACACGAGAAATAAAGCAACAGCAGACATATTAGACGCGAAGGATAGAGAAAGAAACGGCACGGAATTACTATCCGATGTATAAAACGAACGCTATCAGCGTTACGGCGGATCCAGTGTTTAGGGAAACGCCACCGCCGGCGCCGTTGCAATTAACGGTAATTATTCAGTACGAGCCGCAAGAATCTCGGATTCAATTATCGAGCCACCGGACGCGGGCGGTCCGAATGGCTTCCTGAAACTCCTTAGGAGTCGTTCGACTTAATGTCTGCTGCTGAGCTACTTAGAAGCGATCCGAATGGTCGGATCAATACGCCAAATGTGAATGCGTGCATGCAAAGGGTGACCCAAAGCGATTCAAAACGTTGTTTTCGTTCACTGACAAGAAAACGAATGAATAATGTAAAACGAGCTCGAAACCTTGGCACGAAGATCTATCGAACCAAATTTAGACCTGACAAGTCTATCTATTCATCGAGAATTAATTCAATTCTAGGTCTCCTAGGTCTGTTTCATTATTTCATTGTTCAATGCAGATTAGCCTAATTTATCTCGAAAGCGATTACAAACGCATAGATTCTTTAACGAGTCACTCGTTACAGGATACAGATTCGCCAAAGCACGTGTTGCAAGCGCAATCAGAAAAGCCGAGGGCCTCGACGACCCTTACGCCTGAGTGTAGGTTTATTATCCGCAATATTCCGTAATCTAGGATCAGGGCCAGATTAAGGCATAGGTTTTACATCCCAGGGGCCTCCGCCAGTTAGAGGACCCCGAAAGATTAACCCACGAGCTACGGATCGTAATATCCAAACGGAAGGATCTTAACTGCGAAGAGAAAACACATAACGAAACAGAATTCGTATCTTCCATAATTGACTACACTTTGCACGAATATTCAATACATTCGTGTATTAAAAATTTATGTTATCCTGTCATCTATCGCAAGAGTACCCGAGCAATTGTTTACTCGATTAGAAATTATTTCAAACGTAGATACATTTTTCTATTTTATTTCCCTACATTTAATATCTCGCATTTTTCGGCCACCCTTTATACGTTCTTCCCGACCCAAATCCGCGTCTTTCTCGCTCGAAATCGTTCAAAGTAATCAGGCTGCTTGCTCGCTGAGAAACGGGACACCCAGGAGCCCGACCTTAGACATCACGTTGAAAGGTCCAATCGTATTCTGAATTGCTGGTATATACCAGCCAGACGGCGCCTCGGTTGGCTGCAACGGCCGAGTTTCCTGGCGAACGTTACGTCTGTTTGCGACACGTTATGCCAGCTTCCCATGTGCGCAGCACGCGGCGCTGAACACACCTGAAGCACTTCACCCTCGAGTACTGTAGTTACAAAAATATCGCGCTGCTTCTGACGTTGGTCCGTGGGGACATTTCTACGGAGTCTGGCAGTAAGTTCCGTTGGTAACTTAATCGCATGTAAGTAGTAAAAAAAAAAAAATTAGTAGACAGGGGATATTATTTTATAAACTCTAGGATTTTTAGTAGTTTTACTTTAAAAAAACATTTGTGTTTTAGTAAAGAAAGTCCCTGTTGGAAAATCCTTGCCGTTGCAACCCGCTCTGTTATATTGAAAGTTGATTGCATTTTCCTCTGCTTTTAGCTGCAGTCTCTTGCATTCGTTTGCTATCTCTTTAAGTTCTGTATTTCTTTTTCTTTCCCCAACATTGCAATCGCAACCTTACTTTGTGATCACGAATAAATACAAAGTTCGATCGACATCATCGATACATCACGAGGGGCGCATAATCTGCCACGGAAGAAACTGACTTGATTATCCATCCCTGGTCTTTCGTCCGCGTTATCTAGCCGTGACACTTCGTTTCATTATCCGGGGTACGCTCGAAGCCAAGTCACCAATTATACGTCCGCCAACTGGCTTGAGATCGTTCCTGTTCCGCGAGTGACGGCCGCTTATTGCCGTGACGGGTGCAGTTTGTAATCGGAGTTGAAATCTAGAACCGTTGGGAGAAGTTTCCATGGAGGCGACGCGACAACTGTTGCTCTCAGATGGCAACTGGAAAATACATCTCTCGCTGACAGATTTTGGCACGATATGCCGGTTCCAGGGGTCGCCAAACGCATCAAACACGCCATCGTTCCCAGCCTCTTGTCGCGACTACGCCAAGATCCAGGCCACCGACTTGGCCGTTCGGTTATCGAGTTTCGAACTTTAATCATGTTTCACCGAACCGAGCTACGTTTCCGGCTAGCGACTTCTGACGTCGAATTACCGTTCCAGTATCGCAGGAATTCGTCCAGCGTTTATGTCACGTATTACTTTACCTGCAAACACGTCTTGCTTGTTCCGAATATTGAACAAATTTAATCCACGCAATTAATCAACTCGATCAGACGCGGTGGTTATCTAACGTAGCTTTGAAAACGTTCGATTAGGGGCAACTCGGTGTACCAGATCGATCGAAAAAGAACGAATCGTCAATGTTTGTAAATTTTTTATTAATTTGGCAGTGATTAATCATCGAAATTCAAACCATAAAGCGTACTCAACATTTCTGATTTTATTGGCGACTCTTGCCAGGGTCACAGGAACTGTGACCATTCGCGGAAATATGTTCCGCGAAATTTATGCAAATTTCGTAAAAATAATTTCCAGGGTGGTAGGAGTGGTCGAAACTTTCATTCCGCACTAATAAAGGGTCATTGGAAATTCCGAACAATTTTCACAAACGAGTAGATTTAGTTTCTCTCCTTGGGGATTTATCTAATTTTTACGCGGAATAAAAATAAGCATTTCTGGGGAAAATTATTCCATCTGGGGCAAGCGGTGTTCAAGAGTTCGCGTTGTGTCGGTTGAAAAAAACTGGCCCAGGTCGCCGCTTCTTCGTTTGGCTGTTGCGAGATGTCTTATCGTCGCTCGTGCCACGTCGAGAGGCCACTTCCGTCAACATGTTTAGGAGCACCGAGAGGAAAAAGCACCGGATAAAAACCGCGAGCATAGAGGGAATAGAGAGAAATGATTAAAAAGAATGAGTTACGTGCATCTGCTTTCGAGTGCGCAGCCGACAGTGGGGATTTTAATTCGAACCACCCTTAATTTGCATCCAAAGGCTATAGCGAGGTCAAGCGTAGTTTGTTAGAATTTTCTTTACTGCTGATGAAATTTTCGTTTCAAACGATTCCCATATTACACAAGAAACCGGTTCCACCAGAGTTCCATGTACACGCATACGGCTATCAGGCGTCGATAGGTTCGAATCTGAAGTTAAAGTCCACTAATAAGATCGAGTGGAAATAGTGCTAAAGTTCCCGAGTATGACTCTTCTCGAAAGGCAAACGTGAGTTTTCCAATAAAACTTTGCTCCAGCTTACAAAGCAACGGCAACTCAAGCGTGGCTACGGAACAATGTCCCAAAGTACGTTTCACCCAAAGACTGGTTTCACCGGTAGCCCAGACTTGAATCCGCTTGATTATAAACTGCGGTCTTAGCTAGAGAACATGGTCCGCAGGGCACCTTATGAAACTTCGGGTAGCCTGAACAACATTCTGACAACAGTAACTAAATAAAGTACTTAGAAACCATGCGTGCACCTATGGTCCATTTGCCGCGTCATCTGCGAGCCTGCATCTTAACCGTTTCGAATAACACCGTTATCTTCTTGCCGTTAACCGCGCAGGTAAATTCTGAATATGTGTAATAGGTGTCGAGTTTACGAGTTTTATTTATAAAACTGACCTCAGAATTGCTACCCATAGCTACAATCGGACAGAACTACAACTCCTGAGGGTAAAATTAGGATACGATAAACAAGTCGCGATCAGTGATTTGGTACGGCGATGCAGTAAGAAGAATGTAGCGGTTTCCTGGAGGAAAAACCCCACATAAAGGTGTCCACTAGCCGTGTTTTTACCTTACTTATTCTCCCGTTACTTGGAGTACTTTTTTTCGATTTACGTCAGCGCGCTTAACGCATCGTACCACGGTAGTTTCTCCACGGAAAAAGTGTTCAGAAGTGGCCAAACCGTGGTTCGCGAAAATTTCTCGCCTCGAGACCACGCGAGCGGAGCAGCGAAACGCGTGTAAAAGGTTTACGAGGAGTTTAACAGTCGCGCGAATTACTGGTGTAAAGTACGTCTGGGGCATTAGCGCCTCGTGGAACGTAACTCCCATCGGAACGGTTGTCCCCGCGTTATTCGGATTAAAATCCGAAATTCGACCCCTGGAATTCGTAACGGGGCAAATCTCCTTTGGATCTCGATAATGGAGCAGTTAAACTTAACGCGCTCTTTTTTGTAAAGAACACAAAGTGGGATGAACATAATTTATTCGATCGCGAGTTTTCTGGACAATTTCCGCCGTTATCAATCCGTTTGTTATCTGCTGAACAGCATGCGAATTTACTTTGCGAAGTTTCGCATTTAACGAAAGCGGAAATTGCCATTTTGAACAGCAGAGAAAGCGCTTATCCAACGCAAAACTTTGGAAAATCAAACGAAGTTGTGTTCGTTTTGATTTTGTTTAACGGAAGGAAACAATCTGAGATATCGATTCTATTAAATAAACAACAAGAGTTATCGTCGCTGGAAATGAAATATTTTCTGGTATAACTTGTTTCTCGTTGTATTTCGCGAATGGAAAATTCAAAGGATATTAAAAACTACAATGAAGTAGACGTCATCGTTACCGGAATATTTCTGGAAAACACAATGGTTTTCAAGCTCTTCCATTTTTACATTGAAAAATATATATCTAAAACCAGAATTCAGAACATTTATAAAACTAATACTAGGTCTTCCGAATAAGATATCAATTTTCAAACTCGGACAAAACGAATTCACAATTATTGGCGACACGTACACGTGCCAGGACAAGAATTCCGCACTGTCGAACGCGTGAGGAATTTCGTTCTACCAAGGAAAAAATCATTATCGAATATTTTCAAACTTTTTAGGCTAGACGTGGAACCAGCTCCGAGCATCCGAACGTATTTTGCGGAGCGCGCATTCCGCGTCACATTTTTTAAAAGTCACAAGGTATCGATTGATGCGCACGGCTGTACGCATCGCCGAATCGCGATACGACGTGTATGGTGCACGAATTGAAAATCGAAGAAAATCGATATGAATCGCACAAACGGATCTATGTACAGCAATCATCAAAGACGATTGCACCATGGGAAATAAAAACTAAAACGCGGTTGCACTCGTGGAATTCTATGGATCTTTCGACTGAAAGATGAGTAAAAATCCCGACACTATATTACGAGAACTTCAATTATTCTAAACCGTTTCATCTCCAGCCGCTTCGGCTTTGTGCGAGCATTTTCGGTACCGGCCCACGCATACATTCCGCGCTAATTGGAAAAACGCGTTTTTCATGTGAACCGACCGTAAAAATCGGGAACCAACCAAATTCCATAAATTCCACCACACTTTTTCCGGTTTCCTATATCAAAGACAGATCCGGTTCTATTTCAAAAGAAAATTCACGCGTACCAGGAGAAAGAATCGACTTTTTTCACATTTTCTGTGCGTGTGTAAAGTCTGGAGTTCGACGAGATTGTTGGATTAAAATTTTTTAACGGAACAATGCAAAGTTATACCCATGACTGCGAACAGCATTGTTAATTAAACTGTGGCGTTTTTTATTATACACGAAACAAGCTCCTCGAGTAGCGAGGTAATAGGTTGAAAAATAATAATAACATATTTTCATTCTTCATCCATATAGTGGAACGAATTCCTATTCGCACTATCATTCGTTCCTATTTGACTGTTCGAAAGTTAAAGAGACGTATTGTATAAATATTACTATATTTTGAAAAGATCTATTCAGAAAGGCAAAACTGTAGAATCGCGGGAACCGCAAATGAGATACGCGTATCAAAAGTCACAATCGAAGCGAGGAAGTGGTTTTCAGCGCCAAAGAGATTGCATCGCGAACGAAGACGCTTTATTCTAGTCAGTTCGCCGCGATAAATCACAGACTTCGAACCGTCGAGCGCCAACGCAACCGTCTCGAAACACTTTCATATTTTCAAGCAAAAATTCTCAGTCCCGTTTTCCCCTTAACGAGCCAACGGAACGCTGAGACTATGGATCGTTATCCATCGTTAGGCGGTAAATAATATTTCAACATTCCACCGAGTGCATTTCATAGTGGCTACGTCCGCGTTCTTTTCTACGTACCTTCCACGAAGAGGAAATATCCTTCAGGATTCTTCGCCAGCACGCGAAGCGCCTTTATCGCCATCTCGGCCAGCGAAGGGTCACCGCTTCCATTCGTGTTCCGGTCGACGTCGAAGTCCATATGGGAATAGGAAAACAGTCCTGAAATCATCCAACGCCGTGAAATGGTGAGTCGTGAAACTTTCAAGGGGCTAACTTTGATCGATTCTGTTCCCTGAGCGATTGAATTTGGGCGCGTTCTATCGTCGAACGTCGAACGACGAATATTTCCAAACGATATACAGTTGAATACCGTTTCCCCGACAGTTCCATCAAAAATCTTGACCGATAAGTGAGAACGATCAAATGGACAAAATGAATTTGTTATATTTCCACCGTGCACCGCATTCGTATCGTTAGAACTTTTTAAATATACAATAGTTATCGAATACGACACTTTGTATGAATCCTACGTGTTTCGATCGTATACTGTCGACTATTATGGGTTCGGAGAAGCCACGAAGAATTTCTTGTTGAAGTTTCGAGATGGGTGCAGCGATTATTAATTACGCAGACAATTGCATTCCTTAGTAGCCGGTCTCAAAGGGAATTAACAGCTCTGATCGATAGACTCAGTATAATTCGAAATTCAAACGTTACGCCGATCATTAGGGTGAACTAACTAAGCGCTAACTATGTGCGATGAATAATATAATCATATACAATCGATGATTGCCTAACGTCACAGCGTGCAATCCTAATTAGTCAATATTTACATAGCACTAAGACGACCAGACCTTTTTTCTGGACAATCCAATACTTATTCTCAATTTTCATCTCATTTTATTATTTTATTTTATCTTCATTTCGTGCAATCACCCAGGTTGGAGGATGGCCACTCGTAGATAAGCACCCCATTGAGATCATTTTTGAATTCATCGCTAACGAATTCCACCGTCAAGTCGAAAGTAATAAAAAAAACATATTTCTGTTCGTTACCCAGCAGATGGTTCACTTTTCGTGGATCGACGTTCTCTAGCTGCTCCTTGTTAGCGACGTATCTCGCGGACATACTCCGCAACCGGTGGTTTCTGGACCATTCCTCGATCAGATTCCTCCCATCCAATCGTCTGCCCTCCTTATCCGGCTCCTCTGGATCCTGGATCACTTTCGGTACGAAATGACGCCTCCCCCCGCCGAGGACCACCTAGAAATCGAACGTGATTTTATTGGCGCGTATTTTATCGAGACGGATAAAGCTGGATCTCGCGTAATAAAGTCGAACAATTGCCGAGCATTCGGAACCAACATTCGGAGATATATAGGTACGGCGGGGATCCGCGGAATTAACCTTCGACTCTTTTGAAAAGCGCATGGAGAGGATGTTTATGTAAATTCGGTGCAAGGTTCATCCAATCGAATCTAATTCTTTGTGCCTGTCACAGTCGCTGGGAATATCGAAGAGAAGGAAACTCCAGCGACTCCAGAAAGTTACTTACGGACGATAAATTAATCACATTGTGTTTCACAGCGTTGCAGATTATTTCTTTCTTATAGAATGGAAAGCAGTTTTAGTTTTAATTTCGCGCAACTTCAGCAATTAAACGTTTTAATTTAATTATAGGAATTAGAATAATTACTTGCTTGTTAAAATAGGAAAACTCATTACAGTTCCTACAAGCTTGATATTTTTGCTCTACGTAGGTCTAATATACCATAATGTAACATAATAATCCATGAACGTCATTGTAGAACGTATGAAGAATTAAAAGATTATAAATCTAATTTCTTTTTTACTCGTTGGACAAGAATGATTTACAATTACATTGTAGATTATTAATGTACCGAAATGACCCGAAATCGCACTCGTAAATGATTTATCGAATAAACACAAAGCTTACAGAGCTTACAGAGATTACAATGGATTAATTTAACAATGTCTGTACAATTATCTTTTCGTCTCACCGAGTCCGAAACCAAATTCAACCAACGACCGTGATAATCATAAATACACGTGCAACAATTTTCAATAAATACATCCGACAGGCGCAACTTAATCGTTAAATATTGAAATCAGATATGCGACATTGAAATTTAACGTAAATTCCGATCGCGAGCTCTTTGTTCCGCGGTTTCCATTTTCAGGCTGACTGTTTTTGAAAGTTCTCATACGCCCAGTGCGCGTTCTATCAGGGAACGTGATTCCAGAAGCAATTTTGTCGAACTTTAAAGTCAGCCGAACGGGAACGGTCTTTTTGTTGGTCGAGAGATTTTCCATTTCAGTGATTGCAGCTTTTGTTTACATTTTCTTCTTTTTTTTACAGATGCACGAAATAGAAGTCTCGTATAAAGATGGCTGTGAACACGTGACCTACATTACATCGCTTTTATATTTTAACCCGCGCGATGAAATCCATGAGAACAGTTGCACAACAATTTCTTTTTAATTATTATTCCAGACCCATTCACCGTATGAATCGTCAATAGAATGAAGAATAGAGCAGAATACGACATGTGCCATCTCGTCACGTGTATTTCAAGAAGCAATAGCGAATATTCGAAGGAACGTATACTAAGGTGTTTCATAAAAAAGAAAAAGGTATCGTTTGCAGATGCACTTGATGTCGAACAAAATAGCTGTCTACTGAACGCGAATAAGAAAGTGGAATATAACAAATATGATTCCGAGAGATCCAATGGAAGAAATACATAATTCTATCTCTGATATTATTAATATATACGAGTTTGCTAAATAAATTTAATCAAATTGTGTAGGTATTCGAGCAGAAACCTGGTATAATTATAACGTTAATTAAAATCGAAGTGAAACAAATGAATTACAATACTAAAGGATACGAGAACCTACATAGAGAACTGGTAATACGATACGATATCGTTTCAATAAAATCTTCGTATCGTTATTTAAAGTTTTAATATGTTCGTTTGCTGGGTATTTTAACGTGGAAAGTGTCAGGTTCTACTTACTACAGTAACTTGAATTTCATCACTGAAATTTCTTTCACGAAATTCCTATCAACATTTTACACACTTGAAAATCGTCTGAATCCTTATATGTTGAGCAAGCAATTAACCAATACAACTCGTACATACCAATGAAACTCGTGCACTCTATGTTTTAGCATAATATAATATTGAATTTCCAGAGGCATCGAATTTACATAAATATAGTCCGTGGAATTCCTGCAATTTTTACAGCCACTCATCTCTTTCAAACCAAAGGACTTTATTCACTTTCCATAAGGAGTAATCCAAACACGAATTTTTATCTGCTTTCGCAGGTTTCTTCGCGCGAGTTCCAAGGGTAGACTTTACGTGTGAATCGACTAAGAAGTGGATGATTAACCCAAAACTCTAAATTCGTATTTAGTTATAGATAATCGCAATTGTCGTCACGAATCAATAGCGAAACATCTTTCCAGTCGCTAGAGATAATCGAACCTCCGTTACGAACCAGAAGATAAGAAACGTTAGAAGAAACGAAAGAAACGGACGCAAGCTCTGCGCGATCAACTTTCGCAAAATAAATTTCATCCTGTCCGTTCGATCTCCCCGCTGGATTGGAAAGCTTTGATCCGTTGGGAAAGTCATCTCCGTGAACCTTTAATTCCTTCTATCTGAGGGGAAACTCTTGAGAACTTCTGACCGGGCAGACTTTAACGAGTACGAAGTTTTGCATGGGGCTTCGTCACAAAAGCCGTGACCGTTCTCAGAGACGAGCTTTTTTTCCAAGTTATATCAACGGAGAAACGTCACCGATGGTCTCCCGAGACATCTCGACTTGTACAAAATCCTTAATTTCGTTAAGAAGTGATAGACAGTTCAATTCTAGGGAATGTCTAACACTGACAAGTATATCTAATCGTTCAAACGTTTTCAGTAAACGCGAGCAAAATTTCTTACGTCTCGTCTCGACGTTGATTTTGCATTTCTAAATTTAAGACTACGAGAAAATGTTCTAGGCGAGGACGCGAAACTCGAAACAATTTCAACTGTTTGATCGAAAGACGGGAATGGAAATTGTTAAAAAAATCTCAAGAATTCTTGAGCACAATCGTTAGGCGCGACTTGTGCTTCGCGGAGCGAACGCTTACGAGTATTTCATCCCACTCGAGGTCCTTTGTCGGGGCGGAAATTAATTTCTCGACTACGAGCGATGCGTTCCGATTCAATACATTTCTTTGTCCTTTTTTGCGCTGATATTACGTCGAGTTGCACGTGAGGCGAAACGTGATCGATAGATCGCTATAGAATCAGATGGAACACTATGTCGATACCGCATGTAACACGAATACGTATCTTTGTCCTAGTCTACCGGTTTACACCGCTTTAATTCAACATTTTTTTTTTACGTACTACTTTCCAGTGAATATATTGGCAACGATGATACACGGAATTCGTACGCTGCCACGTGAATACGCGAAATTGTTCGTGGGTGTATTTCTGCTTGAAATACATGTGACCTAACAATGTGTCCCACTGAAAATTTTTCTCTTGCGTATCTACTCTCATACTGCTACAATTTCAGCGAAAATACTGGAAAATTTTCTTTGACATTTCACTTTCAAACTTAATTTTTTTTCGTTCTTCAGTAAAAATCAGTGTCATTCATATATGGGTGACATGGTGATCAACGTGTTAAGGTAAAGCGGTACTGCCAGAGACAATTAAGAATATAATTACGTACGTTGATGCTGCGACCAGGCTCATCCTCGAGCAGCTGACGCGCGATGTCCTTGCAAGAGGTCCGTGCAGCAGGTGGCACCTTGCCGTCGTCCTCCCAGTAACGACTGGATGCATGAGCGTAAAGGGCTGCTGGCGTCGCGTGCGTTACCCTGGTGGTCGTCACCAGTCCAGTCGATTTACCTGTGGACAGAAAAGTTGAATTATCGGCACCGCGGTAAATCTACCAACAACGAGCCTTCGTCGCTCGTGTTTCGTAAATCACTCGACTGGATCCTAGCCGCAGATCGTTTGTCTCCGGCGACTGACATTATCGTACACCCCTTCCAAACCTCTCCGCCCGTGAACTCATTCTTCGGGGTCGATCAATTAGCTGGTGTAATCACGTTCACGGTGTCGAATGTGATTTTAAGAAGTCTGAGGTTATTTTCCAGTGTTTTTCCCAAATTTAAATTATGAGAGTGTTCTAGCAGAACAGAGCTCCAATTTCCCAAATGACACCGCGCTTTCGCCAATTAAGAAACTAACACCTGCTAATAGTATTTGTATTATAATACGAGGAGAGGTCAGGTTTATTTAATTTTCACTTCAGTTGCGTTCTACAGTCGGAAATTCAAATACCATGATATCGAATGGCGCGTAGATGGAAAACAAAGCCACGTAAAGAACTGCAGCCATTGTCGGCACTGGTGTACACAGTAATGGGAAACAAACTGAGGGAAATGGTTTGCCCGCAGAAGCTACTCTGCATAATCCAATTGCTGGATCAAACTCGAACAATTTTTTGCAGGGAATCGGTTCGTTTACGAGGAATGGTTTCCGTAGAACTTTGCATCGTTTCCCTAGGTAGAACGCGTAAAAACCAAGACAAATTCTTTTTTCTCGAATTCCAATAACGAAAAAGCATTTTCTTCGCATTCTACATGTTTCAATCTTTCCTGGGTTACAGGATAAATTTCCTAATATTAGCTAGTGGCATTTATCTATAGTCGTATAGTCAAGCGAGTGGAATTTTCTCTTCAAACTTAAGAGAACTATAAAGATTGTTGCCTCGGAAAGAATCGAGAGGGAATGTAACTAAGCGGAAAGATAAAAGGAAGTTGTGTATCGCGTACATCATCGTCTCGTTCAAAGTTACCGTCGTCCATCATTTAGAAGAAAAGAGCTGCGCGAAGTGTGAGTCAACTTATAAAAGAAATTATTTATTTCCCCCAAGTTAATAAACATTTATAAGTAAAATTCTTTTACGCGGATACGACTGCATAAATATGTAGTTTGAAAATGTAGAACGTTAAACGAAAATTCAAAGCTCCGAGTGAGTGAAATTTAACAATTTATAATCCTCGAACGAAAATGTTTCAAGGTTTAAAATCGCGTATAGGAAGGTTCGTCTTCTGAAAATATAAGTATATGTAACCGTCCATGCGTAATATCAAATAAAAACAGTTTCGTGTTTCATCGTGGCTCATTCTAATTTGGCCGTATGAGTAATTCCACTTTGAAATTGTGAATGCGAAATGAAATTAAGATTTTAATGCTGTACAGACGGAATGGAGATGAAAGAGTATTTCGTTGCTTTTCTAACTTTGTTCGCATCGCGAAAATATTATACTTCGAAATTAGTTAACGATTTTTCAATGAAAAGTATTTCGGAATTGAGCTAGCATTTATTAAGCGACTTGGAAGAGGATCAGTACTTTTAGAAAATTCAAAACGTGTTGCTCCTTTGTTCTTAAATTCTACAGAATTGTCGTCAAAACCCAGGAATTTAGTATAATTCACGACAGATTCTATCCCATAATGAAACTGACCACAATTGAGGTACTTTCCTCATTCCGAATTGTATTTTAATTAAGGGGGATGTTCGTCGGATGCTCTGAGCTGCGGTAAGACGAAAGTCTCCGCCTCTGCAGATGGGTTAACAGATTAGGCTGGCACGTGGAGATCTATGTTCTCGGAGGATTAGCAATTACGTTAAGTGGGCCGATGTTAGAACTACCGGATGCTAATCGGTTCGAGTTGCATCGATACACGATCCTTCATCAAAGCACCGCTCGCGATCCTTTGATCTTGGCATCTGGACCTTCAATTATCATTTAGCATAACGAACAGATGTGACCTGTGAGTGGCAGGTCGATTAGCGGCTATTTGGAGGAGCGGGATTCAAGTCGCGAGGTAACTTAGAAATTCGCTTCTGGAATCTAACTTGATCGTATTAGAATTATTTCATTTCATTTTTATCTCTAATCAATCCTAAGTAGATCTGAATAGGTATTAAACTTGGTAAAATGTTGAGATTCTAAATGTATCGATTACATAATTTTCATCCAACGAAAGCAATAGTCGCTAACCACCGATATATAAACCTGTTATCAAACGCCTTTCCACCGATCGATCCGTGTTCGACTTCGACCAAGTTCTCAACGCCAGGTCGCGGCTAAGTTCCGTCAAGAACAGATATTCGCAACACAGTGACATGCAATTAAATCAAGAAACCGATAGTTGCTAACCAAACTCGATACCTAGCACTCGTGTGTAGAGAATCAAAAGTTCCTAGTCGAATGTCGAACAGAGCGTTGGCGTTTGCTCCCGTGGAACTGAATCGACTGGGATCGATTTCGTGTAGCCAAACTGACACAATGTGTCGTTTTACGAAAATGATTTCCACTTTGGCTCTGTAATGTCGGTCTATAACCCTGCAAGAGAATTTTATTCGAACGTTGGGAGATAACTGTTTTCGAAATTTATTTATCCGAGCTCGCGAGAAACGGAGAAATTTTCGAAGGGACCATCGAGCAAGGTACCGTCGTTTAGCAGACGCTAACGCTCCGGATTGTTTTTGATCCGCATTCGCTGGCAACTCAATTTGCTCGGGAGGGGATAGCCTCGTTTTTCGTTTTTGTAATCCGAACGTTACGGAAACGCTCGTTTCTTTCCGCGTTAGCAATTTCCGTCTCCCGTTTCTTCAATTATCATTACGTTTCTTAAATTCAAGCGAGTTGCGCGAGCTAACGGGCAAACGCCTCGAATTAATTCCACTGGGAATTCTAAACCCATTCACGCATTTTAATTACGACCAGGGTTTCATCAAATTGAAGAGACAACATACGTGGAAGCGCAGTTTTAGTATTCTGTTAAATTCTAATAATAATTCTGAACACGTTTGGAACCTGCCTTTACTCATTCACTAGCTGATTCGTTTAAATAAAAAATTTTGAAACTATACAAAGGGCTGTGTACGTTTATTCATACGCGATTAATGATACGATACCGCTGCGGCGTTGAAAAGGAATTGTGAAATTGTTGTATAATTAACATTGCGAGCAGCAAAGCGTGCTTCACAGACCGCTTATTTTTAAACCAGAATTAACAGACCACGAAGAAACGAGATTACATTTAGGTACATTAATTATCGCAAGCGTTAGTTGGTTGGAATTTAAATTTATATTGCCAGTAGCTGTATTATAAAGAATACATTTTAAAGAAAGATTCTGCTCGAACTTACTATACACGATTGTCTCGTGATACTAACAAGTTCAATTAAAACAAGCTATCGCTTGCGCTAATCGTTTCCTTCCTTTCTTGCATTTCGGGAATCTGCATTTACCCGCAAGGAAACTGCAATTTAAAGGAGAAAATACTGGGGAGAAGCGATGCAAACATCATTCCTCCGCGCAGGACCATATTTTCGCCCGCGAGGGAAAAAAAAAGAATCGCGCAGGAGGGCACTTTAAAAATGCCACTCCGCGTCGCGATGGCGATAAGATAAAACGTAATTTACATATAAACAGTGGAGGGGCCGGATGTTTGCATGCAAATTAAAATAAAACAACGAGGGAATTTCGTTGGGTGGAAATTCGCGAGAGCTAACGGCGCGCCGCGTACAAAAAGGAGCGTATACGTTCGGTGGCGCACCCAAGGGGGTTCAAGGAGCCAATTGGAACACCCTCTTCACCATAAATGTTCATATTTTAATTCATTCTCCCTTCTAAAAAATTTCAGACTTTTCCGATATATATATATATTCATTATCCAAAACTATGGAAAATTAAATGATTCATTCATCTCGGTTAATTAAAAAAGAAAAAAGAACTATTAAGGTTGGAAGATGTATTTTATCGACACTCCTCGGAAAGGAAAATTTCAGAACTGCCTCTGACGTACGTTACCTGGCCAGAGAGGGAGCGGATGCGAGAAGAAACAATTTCGTTGTACAGACACCCTTTCAGATCCGAGATAATACATATTTCGGAGATTTGCGCGACGGGCAATAAAGGACGAAGGCGAAACGCGAAGGGAAGAAAGAGCTTTGCCGAACATACTTCGACTTCCGGAAATGAGCTCCCACTCCGCATTTCACTCTGGGATACATCGTCGGCCGCCGGATCTTCCATTCGAGTTCCCTATCTCGAGCTAGATTCTTCGGGGGAGGTAGGAATTTTCGTGTCGGACTCGAGTAGAACAGAAAAAGTACACGGTATCGCGAGATCTTATCAGAAATAATAATGGCGGTAATAATACACGGGAGTTTCTCCGTTGCTCGAGAAGAAATTTCAATGGTGTTCTTCATTGGAGTCTAGGCGAAGTTTACTTAATTAAATAGATGCTTATTCTTAAACGGATACAGCCCTTTCGCGAAGCAAAACGCAGGAACTTTTCCATTTAACCCAATATTTCCACCGCGTCAACGTTTCCGCTAGAAAATATTGCGGCAATAAAGCACGGGAGTCGGTTTCCCAGCCACGGTTTGCGCGGCAATCTCATTTAGAATCACATGACGTATCTAGGCTTTCCATTAAGCTCCCTTTCGTCGATGCTTTTTGCCTTCTCACGTTTTCCATTCGATCTCTTCCCTTCCCACGCGTTGCGTATAAAACCATTTCTCGAAAGATACGCTCGTTGACGAAATTAAGCGATCACTTTATAATTAACTCGAAAAAAAAAACCGTGAAATTCGTAGCTCTATAATTTCGTGAAGAATTATTTTGTTGAGAAGACGTGAACAAGTTTCTCTTCCGCGGATCGCTGTTCCCGCGAAAATGACAGAAATTCGAACTCGAGCGGTTTTCGAGTGACTGTAAAGAGCTTTTTCAATTTTCTTACTGGGTGCATTATGGCGGGAGAGGTCCCCCGGGAGCGAACCCGCGACGACAGAAGATACAACCCGAAGGTGGGTTCGACTTCGTCGAAAGACGAGCCGTGGTGAACCGCGAAGGATAAGCTGCGACAGAAATTTCGCAGAGGCGCAACTTACTGGCGAGATTGAATCTAGAATTCGCGAAATATTCTGTCGAGATATCCCCGTCGACTCGCTGGGAATCGTTCGCCGTCGACGTGACTTGCGATGATGCGAATGAATTATTGATCAGCGGGGGGGGGGCGGAGTTAGCCGTCATCGGATAAAGTTCATTCGTCGACTGTCTTCGTCGTTGGAAACTCGACGGATGAATTTGCAAATTTCAGATCGAACATGGATATGCAGAGAGCTAAATCCATCTCTGAATGCCGCGAAACTTCTCTTGGAAAATCCTCCCCTTTCCCTATGCTGTCCGTTCGTGGAAATGAAAGTTCAACGTAAATCGATATTCCGTTTAACGAATGCATAATAGATTCAATTAATTTCGTAATAATTATTTGTCGGGGCCCGTCGCACTCGGACTTTCACAAAGGCATGCCATCGAACCGACATAGTACTCGAGTGTGGACTAATTAACGAAATCTAACTTTCCTCCGGAAACGAGTGGATTGTTCTGTTCCGCTTGGTAATTGCGTTTTTTGCACACGATAGTCGTTTCAATCACGGTAAAATTTCACCGACCGTAAAACACGTCGTTGGGAATATTAAAACTATGCCTATGTTAAGATTCGAGTGGTTTTATTGATATTCACAAGAAGGAAATTATTTCTTGGTGTAGAGAAATAGCGATAATGGATTCGATATTTCCATTCATGGAAACCAAACGGACGTATCGATTGCAAATATACGTATGATATTTGGCTTCGATTCCATGCCCTAAACGTGCCATGCAGCCGCCGGTATAAACCTTCACAAACGTTGCCAAACCCGGTGAATTCGCGGTTACATATTATATATTGTTTATCATATAGACTGTTCACCGCCAAAAGGGCGTACCGCAAATATTCTATGCGCAAATATTCTGTTTACCTTCGAGAATATGGTCAATTTCCAATTTGTCAATAATTCTATTTAAATATTGAAAATCTACCGATATTTTAATTACGAGTGCCGTGACACAATTTCCAATCTACTTTAATTAAAGTTAATTTTAGTTGTCGTTTCTCACACGGCAATTAACGATGAAAATGTAGAAATAAATGCGTAAGAAACGGGGAAATATCAAACTTTAATCCCACCGTTAACTATCGATCTTTAACTGAATCCTAATAGCCACATCTTGAGGACTCTTCGCGAACTCGAGGACACTAGGTTATCTTCCAAGGGTAAATTCCCACATTTCCTCCTCCACTCTCCAAATTTGACATCATGTAAGCATCGAATACCATCGAACGGTCGCACAATAATTGTCAATTGTCGATTGCATCGATAAAGGGAGCAGAAAGGGTGACTGTGCAAGTTCGCGACGCGCAGCACGTCAACGGCAAACGGCGAGCGATTAATCAAGCAGGCAATTCATCTTAATGATCGAGGTAAGGCAGCTTACGCTTTCAAGCTCGCAACGTAGCGCGGCCAGATGTACAGTCTTGGCTGTGTGCGTCGTTGTTTATTGCTGTTCTCGATCTACATAGCAGTGTTGTTACATGGTACATAGAACCTATTATTTACGCGACGGCTGGTTCAGGGGCGAGTGGCTTCCCGGCGAGTTATTTTCGAGTTCGCTCGGTTAAATGGAGTTTTATCGGTTGTTGCCTATTCAAACTGATTTACAAGGATGCGTTTTTGGTACGCGGGATATGAATTTCTCGAGGGCACTCACTTTTTCAATTTGCCAACTAGCGCACCGATGATTAGAGGCCTCTTGAACTTTGTGTTGAAAGCTTCGCGTTGGATACATCCACCGAAGGGATATTTTAATTGTAGGTTATTGCTCAGGGCGGGTTACGAGAACTTGGGTGTTTCTCGAGATGTCCGAAGAGTCGATTTATATTTATCGGAAAGTGTTTCATCAATTAGCGTCGTTAGCTGTCTCAGATGGCTCTAGTTATGGTTGTTAATTTAATTTAAAACTGTTTCATTTCAAACGCTAGTCAATACCGTCGTTAATTAGATACATTCGATTGACATCCAATTCGCGTGGATTCCGTTATTAAATCGCGCACTGATAATATCAAAGTTATTAACGTTACCGCCTACAGGAAAGTTAAATGTACCCATGAATCATTAACCTATATTCGGAAAATAATTCTTCGTGTTCGTATCAATTACCCAATTCCATTAACCAGTTTAATCTTGATGAAAGATACAATACATAATAGATGACATTAATATCAATCATAAAGAGAAAACTTGATTTTGGCAATTTTTCGTTAAATATAAATTCAAAAGCCCACGTACGACCACGTTACCCCTCAATTTGGTTTCACGCGACGCTGTTGCATCCAAATACAATACACTGCTGCAGCGATAAAGCGTTTTTCGCCGTGTAAACATACTCCGTTAACTTGGTTACATAATTAAAACCCCTCGACGGGTCGATGATACATCCAGCGGCAGAAGTGTCGTCCCAATCGAACGTGTCTATCGGAAATTGAAATCGTCGAACAGTCCCGTGGAAATTCTTGGTATACGCTGACGACACGGTGTAATAAAGCTGGTGGAAAGTCCTTATTTACGATCGTATCCCTGGGTTGAATAAACATCTCCATTGCACGTAGCCCCAGACCCTCCGAGCTCGGTTTTCAAATTGAATTTAGTAGCGTTTATATGGCTGTATAGTCGACTCCCGCGTATGGAAAATGGAAAATCGACACTCGGTAAAAATCCTATTGCCTCACGCAGGTGACAACAACCCGGGATCGTGCGGGATGAAACGCCCTGCACACGTTGCCACCAACCCCTGAACGACCACCCACCCTAATAACCGTGCATGCGCGCCAGAGAAATTCTGTTAATTGCTCGATACCGTTCTAATGAGACCCAGTTTATAACTGCGCCTCCCTAGTGGGAGCCGTAGGTTACACCGATACCCGATGATTTCGATAGATATCGAAACCGGTGGCGAGGGTTGGGAACGAACCCCGCAATCTCGGAAGAATTTCAATGAAGGTGTTAAAATAACGTTCCCCGGTAGCTACGCTCGCGGAGTTCAATTTCGCTTCGACTCGTAATTAGAATTATTTTCACCCTTCTATTTTCGAACCACGACGCTCGGGGTGTCGCAGTGTTTCTCAACCTTTCCTTTAAACGGCTGAATTTTGTATCAATTTTTCGTTATTGTAAAATCGATCCCTAGCTGTGGCTGAATTTTCTATGATTTTCATGGCCGAAATTTTGCTTTCCAGCCTGAGGGTATTCCGCGCGGAGAAACTGTACACTGGCATTTGAATTTTACGATCGTGTAATGGTACCGCGCTCTCGTGATAATACTTTCAGAATATACGTTATCATCGAAATTACATTCATATCTTACATGGAACGCGAATATATTTTCAGAGATTTACTGAAGCAGATTTATTTTCTTGTTTACGATAGAAAACCGTGCCAAACTCGATATTTAATATACTCTTTAAATTGTAAAATATAATGTTTGGCGCTGTACGAATCGTAATGCAGCGGTAAACAAACGGGACAGACATTTGTAGCGTGTCAGTGCTGAAATGGAAACTTGTACGTTTTATACTTTTAATTAAAACGCTACTGACGCTGATATTCATTGGATCACAATGTTAGTTAATCCAAGCAAGGGATTTTTAATTAAAAAGGAAATGGAAATAACGCGTTGAAGCATCGGGCATTAATCCTTCCGATAATATGGAAATGAAAAAAGATATTGTGGAATAAAAGGTTCATCTGATTTTAACCAAAATATACCGTGAAACGATAACGATCGAAGTTATCGATCGAAGTAACCAGTCCATTAATATTTATTTACATTCCTCTTCAGAAGTGAATTCGAGTTGAGTAATATTTTTAGAAGAGCTTATTAGAACTCATTCGTGGCCACTTTTTGGATGGCTACCAAACTTACTGAATCCATTTCGAGAAGATTATTTCTCTCTAGCTGATGACGAGGCTAATTAAATCCCGAAATAGAACGAAACGCGTGACAAAATGTACTGGCACAGAGGCGAGGAGGAAGTGGAGTGGCGATTGTCACCGGAGCGACGTCCGCAATTAAGTTCTAATCGAACGGAGCCAACGGGGAATCGATCGCACATAATCGTTTGTATTAGTCCTGGATGTCCGTAAACGCGTATATTTACTTACCCTGGTCCTGCGCCCAATTGATAAGAGACGGTACACGGGCATCAAAACTGGAATAACAGTTCTCGAAGCGTGCAGAGGAGTCCAGGCCAACAGTCTCGTAATTGGCTTTAACTCCGCAGAGTAGCGCCGTGGCACATGCCGAAGACTCTCCAACTTGGGCGTCCATGTTGTAAGTCTGCAAACGAACGAAAGAGGAAGAGGAACTTTAATTAGTTTGCGACATCAACTTTTTCGCGCAGAAACGCAACCAGTCCGCGAGCAACATTCACGGCTGACGATGGGGAGGGGGGAGGGGAGGGGGGAGGGAGAAAAAAACACTTGGCGATAAAGTGGTTGATTTTGAAATGCATGCTAATCGAATCCAACTGGGGTGGGTGCAGCTAAAGAAAACGATTCGTCATACGTGCATTAGTGCATTAACGATGTTAACCGGAGATGTCTCGTGATTCAAATTGATTGCAATTAGGGATAAGTTTATAATGTTTTGAGTCACGGAGGCCTTGGCTCGGAAAGAAAGATTCTGATTGTAGTTCAACAATTGATAAAACTGTTAAAACAATGTTAAGTATTAAGAAAAGACAATGACACTGTTACGAAAAATCATCTTGTGTGAAGTCCGTTGACGATACTCGACAGATAATTGACAACGGATGACTATTCCTCGTGATCAAAGCATTACGTTTTCATTCAACTATATACGTGTGAAAATACACGTACTCGGACTAGTAACGCGGTATAGTCGAGGGCATTAGACGTTACCCTCGCTGTTAAAACCGTTTGAATTGTGAAAAGTAATCATCGTTTGTTATCTCGCGAGACACAAATGCTGCGACTCGCGCAACACCGTAACAAATATTGCGATAAGAAGGAAGAAGGTTGCCCGATCTGATTTCTGATATACGCGTCCAAGATCTACGATCGCGGATGAGTAATGATTCACGCGACACGCGAGGAATGTACGTCACGACTTCTGGTCTTCGCGCGAGCAATGCTTGGTAGACAAACAGCGGAGAAAAAACCGCGATGATAAATCGTTGAGCGCGTGTCACCGACCGTCGATGACCGAACAAAAGCTATTCCTATCGTAGATGATAAAAATGTTTCGCAAGACGCGGGGATTCCTGAGGCTCGCGCGGATTTTCATAAATTATTTCGAACATTACCGCGAATGAATTGTGCGTATTATGATAATCCGGTCTTTCCTTGACCGTCGCGCGGGTTCAGAGGTTACGGGGGTGGAATAAAGAGGAGCGGAAGCCCCGTGTACATAAATCTTGTCGGCATTATCCACAGGGAGGATCGCCCGCGTAAAATACTGCTGACTTCCGGCGGTTTTCTTATTATTTAAAAACCATGCGGACCACTCGAGCGCCGAGTGATCCGAATAATAACGAGCCATCGTTTCGATCCAGATGTTCGGGAAAGGGCGCGTTTTCTGAGGCAAGAAATCGCGTAAAATGCAGTACCAGGGAGTATAATCGGTCCGCGAATTGCTAATTTCGACTAACTCGAGGGCGTACAGAATCTGTATATCGGACATTCCTAATATACCGTTAATCCAAGTATAGTCATTCTAGTCGACATATAATACATCTTAAAGTAATCACATTTAATCTGGGTATGATTATTTAATAATCTGTATCAATCGAACTAGTTTGAATGCGATTATTCGATAACACTGTTAATTCGATACTTTGCTGAATAGTATATAAAGTGTCACCGATCTCGTTAGCAGAGAAGTCACTTGCATAGATGATTCTTTTTACATTTTAATGCGCTCGACGTTGAAGGGAAATTTCTAAGAGATATTGAAATGTCGTTCCTGTCACGAAGCGTTCGAGCAGGTTATTGCGGAGGTGCAACGATATTGTGATCATACCAGATCGCTAGAGACACGCTATTGATAGGCAGATAACGTCAAGACTCTTTATAAAATTTACATGCTATTGTCGCTTTGATATCGTCGTCCAGACGACCGCTTGCATTGGCACCAATATTATTCTCCACAAGGTAATACTGATTTTATCATTAATATTTTCGAGTCTGCGTAAATATCTAAAATCCGAAGGCAGTGTCTTTAACGTCATACACGAAACTTCGGTCTGCAGTGACTATACTCGTGCAGATTGTTTCATCGGCAAAGCTTACAAAATTCTACTTCGTCGCGTGACTCAGATTTGTTTTCGAAACAACTCGACGCAATGGAAACTTTAATCCCAAAGTGAAAGTATTCACTTCGACGAAAGCTAGTTATCTTCATAGCATAATTAAATTCTATTCCAAATTTATATTCTACGGTTGCGTCGTTCCGCGTTATTTCGGACGTATGTCTTTTCTCTGCACCAACACTAAACGTAAATATCTTTCGACAACAAACACGCGAGGTATACAATCGATACCGAACGTCAGAGCCTTTATCGATACCGATAAGATAATGCCGTATAAAATTGTACGATTTCGTTGTCCGTAGGTAGACGCAGTGGTGCTAGCGAACAAGGCTGATAACGGTCGCGAAAACGCAATGTCGAACGTAAATTGTAAAGGCGAAGAAAGGGGTTGTGCGAACCAGAAGAAGGGAAGTGATTCCGAGTCCAACACCGTGGATGGATGGCCGTTCAAAAACAAGTGAGTGGTAGTTTCTCGATTCCTTCTAAGACTTATTGATACGTAAGTAATTCCTTGTGATGCAGTGTGTTAAAGATTGCAAAACAGGCTGGAATAAATCTATATGAAATTTGCATTTCTTCAGATTCCAAATAAAAATTGACGCGATAACAATTAAAAATTAACGAATTTCAAAACTGTCATTTAATTTAGACAAATTTCTTTAACCCTAGCATGGAAAGATTTAGTAAATTTTACTCCTTGCCTTTTGTTACAAACCCCAAATCAATTAGTTTACCAAGCGTACGTGAAATCGCGACAAATGATTCCCCGGCATTATCAATCTATATAGTCATAGCAACAGCTCTGAATCAGCGCTTAGGTCAACGTGAACGGTTAGGAAGATGCGATCGTTCGTCTTATCGGCGTGAGAACAAAGACGCGCGATGCTTTTCGAATTTAGATAAACGTAACTTCGCCGCTAGAAGTCGGCAACGCGATGAACTAGGAACGCGGGAATTTCGCATGATCTACCGCGGCTGTATTGCGCGCTCGAAAATGTATGAAGTGGTGCATCGCGAAGACATGAAATATGCATATTTACCGGGCGAAAATTAACATTTCTACGCTGGAATTAATTGTACGCGGAAGTTGGCGACTGTGCATCGGGCTGGGGTGTCTGGTATTACAGGTCGAAGCACACGAAACCGTTTTACGTGCGAGTAGACACTTGGAGAGGTCCGTGGAACAACCATGACGAACGTTTGTGCTTTCGGTGTCTTTCGTAAGCCGATGTAGCGTTAGAAGTGTACGTTTCGAAGTAATTCTTCTAGACGAGGGATCTCGGTACCATGAATTATAGGACACCCGGTATGCTAGGGGTGGAGTATCGTCACAGTTTAATTTTCATATTCATTTGGCAGCGGCTTTTCGGGATTTTGCAAACAAAGTACGCTGAATGTAATAAATTCTCAGGTTTCCTGTCGAAAGTACGTGGAACTCTGCATTATTCAAGTATTGAATCGCCCTGGACAAAATTCTGCACCATTTTGAACCAAACAAAATGGGATTAAAGAGAGTCTTGTGAAAAGTAACAAGTATTATAAGTATTTCCTAAATTAGGACGAGAGCATTTCTTCAGATCCGAAGATTCATCTAAAATAGACGTAATCTAAAACTGCGTTCGAACTGTTATTTAAACGTTGTCAGAATTTTATCAGAGCAATTCCCGCGGGACAATGAAAGTTTGTTGGAGGAACACAACTGTCGACCATGTCATTATTCGAGGAATTCAATTACCGACCTGCAATGTAATCGATAATAATTGACAGCGATGGGAGTTTCGCAAAACTGCGAACGATCTCTGCGGATGACACGACGTATTATCTGATGCTATTTCCTGCGGCCGGAACCCAATTCGAATATGTATACGTGTCACTCAACTCTATCGCGATTTCGATCTCGCCAAAGGTAAACGTTGCTGGTTGCGCAGCTTTCTGAGCGATTTTACAAACATGGCTCTACGTTATTTCAAAATAAAAATCGCCCGTAAAATTATGATGAAAGAAAAAAATGTTTCAATTGAATATTGGTAAAAATAGCGAACCTGAGCTCTTGCGCGCTCATTATCCGAATCAGCCGCGTCGTTAAGATTCCCATGGTTCCTAAGATGTTGCCGTAAACTTTACCAGCGGTATTTTGAACTCCTCGAAGGCAGTGTGCGTCGAGCGAAATGTACACGCGAAATAAAACAGAACGAGTAGAGCAACACGCGGAGGAGATTCACAAAACACCGCGGGGCAACGGATCGACCTTTTAAACGGCTCGAGATATTACGTTCCCAGTTGAAAGACTTTTTCCCCGGGTGAATTCTACCACGCTGAAGAACACGCGGAAAATCCATGCTCGCGGACACGGACAACGAGGTTCGGTTGACAAAGGCTACCCGCAGAATGCTTACAAACTAGTCATAAAGGCGCGGACCCGACGCCCATTAACAGACAAATGTTCATTGGAAGAGAAACGAGTTACCGGTATTATAGCGGCTCGCCGCATTTCCTTTGAGCTTGAAAATATTTTGCAACGAGACCGTTCCGACCTCTATCCGCCCCTTCCCCGATCTCGACGTCGCGAATATAAATCTCTGGAGAACGATTCTACCGATTGTATACAATTGGAGCGAGAGGAAGCGTCGCGCGGCTTTTCGCGCGGAATTCCACTGCGACAAGAGTGTCAGTTCGTATCGCTCTCGTGCGACGGGTATCGAAACGTTTCTGTCTTTTTTTTTTTGGTAACTTGATTTAGGATGTGCTTTGATTAAAGTTAGACGACTGCTCGCGCAATTGACTTTGCTAGCTCGGTGAAATATTTTCGGACGATGGCGTGCCATCGGGAACGATAGAGGAATAATAACTTGTCATTTCTTTACGATTCCGTTACTGAAGTAACGCTTTGATAAGTGGAATTAACTTACTAAAATTAATTAGGAGGCTTGGACAAAAATGAATCTGGGTATAGAGTCATGTACTGACTCGAGAATTATATCGATTTTCGAGTTTAAGGAAGAGACGCTTCGTGGTTCAATGTAGCTAAAAGATTTAAAATCTATGTTGTTTATCCCCTGCTCGGCTCTTCTACGCTTTCCCGCGACGTTGGATATAGTAGGAAAGAAAAACTGTATTTGGTGTCAGAAGATATTTGTTTGGGAAATTTCAGATTTATACTTTGTTGTGACACAACGTCGCTATGGAGGATGGCACTCTCGGGCTGTCATTGCTCTTCCGACCTATCAATATCGAAAGTACTGTTTTGATTTGTGAACAGCGAACCCGGTGATTGAGATGCAAATACGATATATTGTTCTTATACGGAGAAAAGATCATTTTCAACCCCGGAGGTGCACCCTCGAGGAAGCGTTTCCTCTGCCTCTCTCGGTGTTCGACTAATCAATAAGTGCAGAAAGTTCCTTTACCACTCGAGGCCACTTCTCCCCAAAAGCCAATCACGGAATCACTAACCAGGTTCGCGAGCGTAGTATCAGGGGCGTTTTACTTCCTCTCGAGCGCGAAAGTAGCGGTAATCGAGCACAGCACCGATTTCCTGGTAAAGTCCGATCGCTGCACGTACGGGTTCACAAGGAGTGGCAACGTGTTACCGCGATGGAAACGGCCGGGACCGTTACGTGGAAGTTCTTTAGCCAGGGATTGCGATCTAACTTAAAATTAAATTGACCGTCGGATGATTCGGTGGACGGTGCTCACGTTCGCCTGCGAGAACCGACCGTCTCTATCCTAAGCAAGATTTCCCGTCCGTGGCGAAGACCTACGTGAGTGGAAAGTACGAAACAGCCTCATGCACTTTCGAGGGATGGGTGTACTTTGCGCAAGGTTAGACGGTGTCGCCCCGTTTAAAAGGAAGAACGTGTGAACGGTGCCGGCGAACCTGCCATGGAGCCCTGTAACGATGAAATAGGACATTGCCGGAGCTTCCATTTAACACGCTGTAACTCGGGACTACGAGACATTTCTAATATTTATTTTCGAAATTATTACTTCGTATCGTGTCCTCTTGTAAATAAGTACGCGTATAATTCATTTGCGCGGACTCATTTTGCGCTTAAAATCGCCGCGCCGAGCTTGCAGAGTCGATACACGAGGCTTCGGTTCCGATAACTTTATTGCTGCTTTAAATCAAGGTTTTAAAAGGTGTGGATCCTCGGATTTTCGGAGCAAGACTCGTGTTTTTCACGTTCGAGTCAAATCCCTTATCACGTGTCTCGCACGTTGTCACAGGCTAAAGGGTTAATGAAAGATTTTTCAAGAGTTTTGAGATTGCATTTTTGTAATAACAAAGAAAACCTGAAGAACAGTCGACAAGATCGAAGGACCATTCGAATCCACCCACGTCGGCAACATTTTTAGGATCACTATCGCCCGAAACCCATAAAATCTCTCGATACATCTCCTGAAATCCGAGGTCTGCCGCGAAACTTTAGATCCCCGCACACCTAACTCGGACACCCGAATCGTTTTAAACCCTCTGGGGCCCCAGAAATCGTCTGTATCTACTTCCATAGACTCGAGTTATTTCGTATCGTATTCCGCGAATGCAGCGCAATCGGTATCAGGTGCCACGAGTCCAGCGGTCGTAACTGCACGGGATTCCATAGATCCGTAGTCGCTTGGATTGAGTCCCACGAGTCCCGTGTCGTCTATCCCGATTCCTCGAATTCCGTATCGTCTGCCTCGCATCCCAAAGGCACGGTATCATTCATGTCCCGTCCGATGAGTTTGGGGGTCTTCCTCGTGGAACACCATGTCGAGTCTGGGTCTTCCCTCTCGGATCCCATGTGTCCACCACCCATTCTCTATACCCATCTCCGCGGATAGAACTAATTAATCCGACCATTGTCTCCCTTGATCGGAATTTTCACCCAATTATGCGAATATACAGGACTTAGAGTCAGTCTCATAAGTACTCGTATCCTCTATATCTATTGAAGATGTTTGTCTAAATTAAATGATAATATTTTGTCTGTTCGTAAATTTTTCAACGAGATGGCGCAGAGTCCGAAGCGTTAATACCTCAAAGATGTCCTTACTTTTTTTTAAATCAAAGCGCGGTTACCAGTAAACAACTCGCGCGGGAATTGACGGTCATCGAAGCGACGATATATTCTCCGAAAATAATTAGAACTCCCGCGGTCACCGGCGCGACGTTCATTCGTTAACCTGCGGTCGCATGAACGTCGAAAAGTTTTTGAACTGGCGTGCACCCCGTCGCGTCTCCGACCTCCGTCCTAGATGTTATTTGTTGCACGTTGAGCGTGGCGTTGTTCCAACAACGCAGCTCTTCGGAGATTCCAAATTTTACGAGGGACGCGAAAAGCCCCAGGCGGACGAAACCGATACCTGCGCCGAAACCGTACCCCCGAGCTCTTTCGTTGCAGCGTATCGTTTTTTAGCTCTGTATCGATCGTCTACAGTCCGGAACACCGAATTTCGCCGGCGACAAGCAGAAATATGCACTTGCAAGTTATTGGGCGCTAGCGCGTGCACCATAATCGTAAAGTACAAATGGGATACTCGCGTCGAGCGTGTAATTTGCCGTGTAACAACTCACAATCAGCGGTATGCTCGACGGGGTGCGAGGGAGCAATTGCACCCTCGTCTCCTCTATGCGCATTCATTGGGTGGATATACTAATACAGCTCGGTAAAGCTATAATTCATCGTCATTCGGAATCAAGACTAGCGTGCAATGTATGATTTGTCATTTTTTAAGCGTTGACGTTTCTTTTGTGTGGAAGCGTGAAAGCAAATTGACGTCATCGAATGATAGCAACACGACGGGAAACGTTTCGAGCTGTGCGTACATTTCGCACGCGAGAAGAATACGATCGGGGAATTCGACACTCTTTTTAGAAGCTTTATTATTATCGTGGTATAGCCACTTGCGATTTAATTGCAACGTGTAATTTCCATAGTGAATACGTATCTCCATTCAAATACCATTCGTTTACAATATGCAGCCGCGTGCGAGCCATAACAACGTATCGTGAATTGTTTCAGCGTGCAGTGGGAATATTTAAATAGCTTGAAATGCAGTCAGTGGGAACGCGAGACGTGATTTTAAAGCCTTTGATACAGAAATCGCGAAAAACTCCCAAAATTCGGGCGTCGATATTTCATTGGCCTTGTTTACGTACCACATCTCATAACTCTTAATGTAATATTCATACCGCGCAGATCTGTATTGGAAATGTCCAATATTGAAACGTTGCTAACACGTCGCGTACAGGGTGTATCTAAACGAAAGTACTCCAGTTTGAGATTCGTACAGCTTTCAATTAATTTCGATGCGTTTCAAGTACGTTTTTATACGTTGCACGTGTTTTATGCATTGACCCTCTACTGCGCGAAGTTTATTTTATTATCAACAAGTGAAGTTATTTCTTAGTCAGTTACATGAATTAATCCAAATTTTCACTTCATCGTTTGTTTCGAAAACCCATTTCACTTTTTCACTGGGAGTTATTTCTGTGTATGATCTACACATTCGTTTCTATCGGAAGTATAAATAATTTATTTTTTTATTTTTTACTCGTCAATCAATATTTTCATCCGGGGAATTGTTTTGGGCACCTGTGGGTCAAGGGGCCAGCCGCGAGAATTTATCTGTCCGAAACAACCGTTTTGAGGATCCTCCACCAACAACCACTCTCGAACAAACCGAGAACCGGATGAGTACAGAGAATTCTTTCTTCGGTTAAAAGTAGGCAACGAGTCGACTGCGGTAAAGTGTTTTTGCAGCTCTGTAAAAGCAACGAAACTGAAATTTCAGAGTCGATTGTCACCGACAACGAAACAATGGCCCTTTAACGGCAAATATTACGCTAACCCACTGCGGCAACTGCGCCCATTCATCAAAGAAAAAAGACGAGGCAATCTCACCCAAGGCTTGCTACTCTTCCGTGACAATGCGCCAGTTCGCACGTCTCTCGTCGCGATAGCAAAAGTACGCGGTTTTGTCGAGTCGAATGGTCCACCTTACAGCCCACACACGCATCCAAGCGAAGTAGATTATTCCAGATACCAACGAGTGTGAGAAAATTCAGTGAAGCTTTATTATTTAAGTGAGAGTAATGTGGTGTTTTGTTTTTAGGGACACCAACAATTCCACGAGCGCTACAAGCATTCACAGTCGAGTATCAAGGGATTCTGAGGTGTACAACATGGCTCACCCGAGAAGGGGCAAAGCAATAATCTTCAACCACGTCAACTTTCAAAAAATGACAGCGAGGAAGGGCTCAGAAAAGGACTGCAACGACTTGACGCAGACATTGAGTCGCTTTGGCTTCGAAGTTCACACGTATCCGGATCCGAGCGTTAAGAAAATAACGTCCACCTTGAAAAGTGGTAAGTATGCGTTATCTCTATTCGATCGTGTCTTATTTGGCGCTGGAAAATTTGAAAAGGAAGTAGACCTTTCATTAGGCATGTTATTTCCTATCAGGCAACAACTGTACAAAGTCAAACTAAAAAAATGGAAGAATAACCATTTCAGAGAACGTTTAGAAACGAATCCGATACAGTTCGTAATTATGAATAATTGTAAGAAGAATTTTGCAATCTGCAGAATGTAGAAATTAAAATCACCAAACAATTCGATAACATGTAAAACGGAATAAATACTTCGTTGTGAGTGGTATGAATTATGAATGTTTATAAAATTCCGCGAAATTGCAGAAAAATTTCCCCGATCGTTCCAGCCTGGAAATTTTTATTCCAAGTACATACCAGGTGCGCAATTCGAACAACGCAATTTCGGACTCAAAACACATTACGTACGTACGCGCCGACAGTGTTTAATCATTTTTTTTTTTTTTTTATTTGCCAGCTTCGCGAAACAACGCCGTAATGCGAAATAACGGACAGAGATGGATAATACGAGTAATAATTCATTTCATCCGTTTCTGCGTAACGAGTGGTGTTTCCATTATTCGGATAGTCTCTCTTTGACGTAGTTTCAGTAAAAGAAGAATAGCAATGACATTCGCACGATCGAATTATAATGTTATCACCCTGTGATATTTCGCTTTCTATTCAAACTTCTAATTTTTATTCAACGAATATCGAAGTATAACATTGCTCGTCCCTCGTTTGCTATTCGATATTTTTATCCAGACAAAACTTCCGCCCATTCCTGTCCCCGGAGAGCGTGTCTTGGCATCCCCAGCCCGCAAATTGTAGACAAACCATTCGTAAACGGAACAGAAACGCTGGCTGTCGCCGAGAAACGTCACGTTGGCCAGTTTGTTTGAATTTTTCCTCGAAATATTCATCCATTCAAATATTGACACAATGGCAACCGTCGCGACACTGTCCGCCATACATTTATCAAACGCTTTTGTCGCCATCGGACAAAGATGTTCTTACATCGCTTGGGGAAGCGCGAAGCTCGTAAATCGCACGTTCCTAAACCACCCGTGGCTCGCAACAATCGCCACAGCCCTGCATTTCATTTAAAACGCCTTTCGAGGGTATTATCGCGATGGCGAATTTCAATGACCCCGTTCATCACGAATCTCGTTTCACGGTATTTGTTTTCATTCGGTTTACGGGTCAGTGGAAGAAAAATAAATGACGCAGCGGAGACTCCCATGATTGAAATATTTTTATTATCCCGGAAGGGAAAAGAGAAAAAACGCGTGTCACGAAGCTCGCGTATATTGTTGTGGAATTTAATAATGGCGTCTACTATGTACGATTACGGGTTGGTGAATTATGTCAGCTCCAGATAGTATTTTTACTATTTTTAGTACTCGCTGTTTCTACTACTCATATTACTTTTTCACCACCGTTTTATATTTGATCTTAGGCCCCAAACACAGATACAATTGAATCTCGTAGGTGGAGACGCCGTAATATTGAATTCTGTCGTACTATTTTAATAGATCGATAAAAACTGAGGGAGTAGTCAAATAGTGAACCGACGGAAAGCAATTTAAACTACTGTCAATATTTACCGGCGCAAACACAAATGGAAATAATGGATCGTGGAGAACGGGCTAGTCTAGACATAGTGAAGTGTCCGATATTCGAATTGAAACTCGATTTTCTTGGACAAGAAGACTCGCAAAATGTTCGGTTTATTGGCAATTAAAGAAGAACTCTGATAGAATAAAAACTGAGGAAATTAGCTCTAATATCTTCCAAGATTGGGAATCCCTGTTTTGGATCATTACTCCGTACGATCGATGAATTCGCATGCAGAGGAGCCGTGTGTACTAGAGAGACTTTCGGGATCCTTTGTTCGGCAAATTCTTATATGAAGCCTGAATACCACCAAGTACGGACCAATAATCTTCGCGGAGGTCTTTGTGCGGCATTCCTCGAAGAAGAGGTGGGTGTCGCCCCAACTGTCCCTTCAACACGGTTGACCCGCGACGGATAATGACGTCGTCGATGAATAAGACTACGAGAAGTTGCATAAACATTTTACAATGAAACGAGCTCATTAAACGTTCCCCTGTCGGACGGGGGTAACCGGTTTTCTCTCGAGCATAACTAGCAGAGACAATTGCGCGAGATACAGACGCGGCCGTGTAAGCGGAGAGGAAAGTCGGATGATCGTGGAACTTTATAATAAGCAAGGAAACTTTTCGTATTCCCCGCTACTTGGAATGCGTCAAGATATATCGCGCTCAGTTTAGAACTGTTTCCGACTCTCTAGATTATTTTTTGCCAACGTCATCTCTCGCTGGACTACCTCTAGACGCGAGCCATTCAATTGCGTTCAGTCTCGAGAGGACGACGACGATGAAGTTTGAGGTAATTGAAGTTGAGGGGACACTTGTTCCGCGTCCATGAAGATTTTGTATAGGAAAGGAGGAGTCTTTTGTACTCGAGAAGCATGACGAGGGGATTTTGGAGGTTTCGAAGTATGATGCAGCGTTAATTACAGCGCTAAATTAGAAGGTGTTTAAGTCATCATTTCGGCGATTTTGTTGATCATAAGAAAACCTGAGGGTTTCAGACGCAATAACTAAAGAAACAAGCGCACGAGATGGGCCATTTTGGGTTAGGGCGATAGTGTAGCCTGGTCCTATGCGAGATTGCTTCCGCTCTCAAATGAGAAGCCCACCTGACCGTATTACGATGTATTTAGAATGGCGCAACGTGCTGCGCAATGCGCGTTGAGATTTTGGCCCTGAGCCTCCCTCAACTGGCGACGCAGAACACATTCCATGCGCTTACTATGAAAAGTAGCCGCATTGGAGGCTGTGTGCGCGATGCTACCCACCATTGAAAACGTTGGCAACACATGGTCGAATGCTTTTTACCTGAAATTATGCCAGGATTATTTCGATAAAGTATTTTCGTAAAATTCATTCTCGTAAAATGAATACATTATGTTTGTCGAAACATACAATCACGAATAGAGTTATTCGCAACGAGCTTCAGAACTGCTAAACTCGAATTGAGTTTGGTATTGAGCCGCAAATGTTTGACGATGTTCGAATTAATCAATGAGATCAATTGTATATTATATCCAGTAATAACGAAACGAAGCTCGTCCTGCGTTGATCATCGAGAAGGAAATATATTTAACGTCATAAACTAATATCTGGAAAGGAAAATAACGTTTCCCAGTTTTTGTTTTTTTTTTCGCTCGTCAGTCGCGTATATTTTTCATTTGCACTGCGAGCACGGGCGCAAATTCATTACGCCCGCAATATTTTTAAGCAACGTCCCGTGAAATCGATAATTCTCGTTTCTCCTCAACGAGACAACATACGCAGGTGCTGTCAGTTTTTTAATCTGCACCTCCCACTGCGCAAATTCGACCAGATAAACACTATTATTTTGTTTCTCTCCCGTTCGGGCGCAGTTGCAACACCAACAGCAACACGCGTACAACAGTTCCCTGGATCCGATATCGAGTGAACAAGGGAGCACGCGACTTTTGTTTGCGCAGCAAACAGCGTTACGCCGTTTTCGTCTGGCTCTGGTTGAAAACAGGGCCCCGAGGGGGGCGAACAATGAAATCTTCTCGGGGAATGGCGCAATTCGTTCCTCGACGTCTTTAATTTTCAGGAAAAATACGGTTGGGTTTGATTAATGCTGCTATTTCTCGTTCGTCGCTCTGGTTGCTGTTTAACGTAGCGTTTGTAAATTTTTTCTGATGGTGCCTAGCGGCGCGTTATTTTGTACACGAGGCACAATCAAAGAAATGACAAAACAAATTTTGAAGGGTTACTACGAAAAATATCTAAGTGCACTTAGAATCAAGGCTGAACACGCGACGAACAGTGTGGCGGGAACGAGGTGAAAATGTTCTAAACAATTCGTCGTGAGTCCCGTAACGGTATACGACACGATTTAATGATTCAGTTCACGGCCGACTGCTTGTTTCATGGTACGGCACGCGTTAAGGGTTGTTCGCGTTGGCGTCAAGCCAGAGAATCGCGATAACAGGCAGTTTATCGAAGATCGAATATGTTTGATATCGGATCAATTGATATTGTTATTAACTGCGAATTTTTATTTGCTCCGGGAGCTGTGAATGTGCTAGATACGAACCAAAATATGCAGATACTTTTAGAACACGATATTCTTCTGAATTTTATTTCAATCGATAGAAACTGTATCAAGCATAGCATGAGTGAAACTCCTTATAGTACTCGAGTAAAGAAATACGAAAACGATTAGAATGCATGAAATATGAAACTTACTCGAGAGAAGTTCGGGCGTTTATCTTAGAAAGCAGTATCGAACCGCGGAAACAAGGGTGAAATACAGCCATTACTTTTTCCGTGAATTTAGCAAGATGTGTCCTCCGCTATTTCCGGCGCTCAAGGTATAATTTTCGTGGTCTGCGTCCTGGGAAACTTCGGGTTGCAAATACGAGCAGAAAAACTAAGGAAAAAGCGAGTCTTCGAAATGTTTCCGCGTACATGGCTCCATAGAACTGCAAAGTGGCTATAATACTCCACAAAAGAAACATTCTTTTAAATATACACAACGAACGCCGCGGGTTCTGGATAAACCACGATGCAACTTCTATCGTTACTTTTATACCGAGACAAGGATGGCGATGTAAAGTTCAACGCGAACGATCCTTCAAAACAGGACAAGTAAATGAACAAAATTAACGATTTATCCCAGACACACGTACGAATACTTTTCTACGGTGATCGTAGTAATAGGACGTATCTTATGACGACTCTTGAACGTGCTCGAGTAATCGCGCCTCTCGTTCATTTTCGTGAATTGGGTTAATTACTCGCTTGAATCGGGCTTCACAATGTACGATCTTTCGCGCAGTTAGACCGACCGGAAACGTTCCCGTACGCGCGTATTCGGAGCACAATGCAAGCGCACGCCTCATGTGCACAGAATGGCCGCGGCGCTCAGCACCCCTTGTTTGCCTCATTCGCGCATAAAAGATATTGAAAAATTTAATCGCTCCCTTTCGTCGACGATTATTCGATTCGACGCGTCTTCTCGGCGATACTTTTCACTTCGGATACTTAGACAGTCGATGAAAAGCTGCTTCTCTTTTATTCCTTGCTCGAAATTTCTTATCTAAATGCAGATGTTTCCTACATTTCTCTATTTCGGTGAAACAAGCGTTCGCGAGTTTTGACGTCGATGGCGTTGTAAACGATCACAGCCCGAAAGCGAACGGCACAAGTGACATTTACAAGCGCTTACAACGCGTGAACGGCCAAACCTTTGGTGCACGTAGAACTGGTTTCCGAGCGACTGAAAACGGAGTGCATCGAGTGCATCCAGTCGACGATGCATGTACTTCGCACGGTGGATTCGTTATCAGTATTACAAAGGCACGACGAGCACTTTCAGGGGAGAATTTTGCATTTTCGAGCACTAGAACATCGTACCAATACAATTGCTCTGTCCCACTTTAAGGGGACCTCACATCTCGAAAAAATGACGTTGTCCTTTTTTTTTTTTTGTAGTAACAAAAGCAAGCAGAATCAAAGAAAAGCTATCTATGCCAATTACTGTACTTATAAAGTCATTGCGTGAATTTTCCAATTAACTCTGATGATAATTGATATTGATAATATATAATATAATATATTATAAAAAAAAAGAAATTTGACGAAATTTAGTAAATCGATAAATCGACCATGTTTCCTAAATTTCGAATGTCGGTTTGGTAGAAATCATTAGAGAGAATTCTTGAAGAGCGAAGAGGTAATTCTGCAGCCAAGTGGGTGAGATCCTTCTTAGCAGAATTAAATGTAGACTTCGTTACATCGTTCAAGTAAATAAACCGTGGATAGCAAGAAGAAGCGAACGCCTATATAAAGGGCCGAAGAAATTGATTCGACGCGAAGTAGAGGGAATTACTCGAGAAATAAAACAAAATCCGATTAGTTCTGTCCGAAGACTTGGAGTAATTGCTTCAAGAAGGAGCTACCTGTACCCAACGGTGGCGCAGAATTGGGAAAGGTGATTCGTGGAACGCCGAGAAGGGAATTGTGGAAAATAAATGGGCGAGAAAATAAAAGCAAAATGGGCGCTTAACGTTCGCGCGAGAGTGCATTATCGCAAATAATGCACATTTCGAGGAACGAACAGTGAAATACTTTGAAACGAATGTTCAGAATATGCACAACGGCGCAAAAATTTAATGAGAGTTTGTTAAAGTGAAAATACTCAACTGAAGTACAGTTTCGCAACAGGTTGCGAAGGGCGTATTGAAGTTTAACGCAGAGTGTGTCAGAATAGTAATCAAGTAGCTGCTCGAGGACATCGAGGATTCGTCTTCAACATGCTGCTTTTGCCTTGCCCTATATTTATCTTTAGAAAATGAAAACTCGAGTGATAACGTCAACGCTCATAGTTCCACTTAAAAATCTGTGGCACGTTTAACATTTTGCTGTCCTAGTGAGACTCGACGGAACTGTTTCTCGTGATTAAAATCTCAGGACTTTGATGATTCGTAAATGACTGAGATAGGACCATCGGTGTGTTTTCTCTATGGCGATTATACGATACCTGCGATTCTTCGAACAAAAGAGCAAACGAAACAATCTGCACGGGAATACTTTCAAGGGGATGAAGCAGAACCCTCGATAACAAAGGAAAATATTTCTGCGAAATTGCACTATTACGAATGTTTCCGCGAGTAATGGCAAAGGACCGACTTAAACGAATTCAGGAAATCGTTCAGCGACTCGTCAAGAACGTTCGCGTCGTATGGAAAAACGATTTTCGAGCTCGACGACGTACGCCGTGTAAACGCGGCTGGGAATCGGAAAGGGTGAGAGGTTCAACGAACACAATACGCGACGTAGTTGACCTCTTGATTTGCTTGCGTATGACCCATCACAGTAAACAGCTCGGTCGCCATTACCGTGGACCACACTGAATTAATTAATCCTTTCATTAAATTTAGTGCGGAAGCTGGTGCTGCTTTCGAATCTATAATGCGGCACACTCATCCTGTTTAATCCTTGCCTTCCTGCGGATTTCAAGCTTAGCGTGACAACACATTATAACGGCAATAATTGTTCACCGTGGCATTGTCGCGACAGTCTCGCTGAAAAGGCTTAATATCAAGAGAATGCGGTCGGGACGATACCTCGTTTTAACAATATCTGATTCAATTCGCCGAGTTGGTAGCTGAAGATACGATCATATAATTGAACGTAAAGATGTTTCGATCTTTGTTTTTTTGAGTCCCAAATCCTCGAATTAGTAACTTTCCCCTGGAATCAGAAGTCTGGCTTGAGGGAGACGTTTGCAACTCGATGTGGACATAGATTAGCTACTGTTAGGGAGTAATTCTACATGTTAAGATTCAATGACCGTGAAGCTGTGTTAATACAGAGCCAGTCTAGCGACGAGTACGTGATTTTCTTGGACAGAAGTGAGAACAACGAGGCCAACCTTGGCCAATATTGTTCCTCCTACTACCTTCCGCGGCAAACAGTCTGCACCCGTTATCCTGGCCAGCACCGAATTAATTAATCCTTTCATTATAGTCGCTGAAGAGGACCACACGGACGCTGACTGCTTAGTCGTAGTGGCCATGTCGCACGGACAGTCGGGTTATCTTCATGCCTATGATGATATGTACTCGGTCGAAATGCTGTGGGGATCGTTCATCGCTGAAAAATGCCCAACTTTGATCGGCAAGCCGAAGCTGTTCTTCATTCAGGTAAGCTACTTTAGATTTCCATGTTTATAAATCGATTAACTCCACTTTTTCAAAAATCTTACATTCAAGTGTGAAAGCACTTGATATAATCATAACTTTTTATATTTATATCACTTTCCGGAATAACGAAGAAAATTTATAAAGAATAAGGAAAATTGCGATGAAATGGAATTCGAACAATGATGAACTATATACAAAGTATATATAATGTAGAAATTAGCAGACAGTTCAATGGGACCTCCACGAAATTGGAAGGTTTCCAGGCAAGCCGTATGGATTGCACTCCAATCGTCGAATTCACGAAGAGATCAACGCCGCTTAATTACCATTTCATTGCTGACAGAGTTATTAAAGGAGATGAAAAGCAGATCCTCGTCGAGAATTTTAAACGGTGATACTTTTCAGTCCGCGAAAAGCCACTACTGTCATCTTAATCGGAACTGTAATTGAGAATGAAGACGTCGCGCATCTCGCGATGAAACTGTGGTAGCGTTATTCTTTATAAATCTTAGAAGTCGCCATTAGTTAATTTGAGTATAATTTATTCTCAACGATATTCGAGTATATAGCAAAAGTGGGATTCGAAGTCAGTATGCGTGAGCTTAGTTAGAAGGAATAATTTCTTTTTGTAGAGAGACTTTTTAAAACTAAAATTTAGTGCATGTCGCATGTGTAAGCACCACCGAAGTTAGCGAAAAATTGTGAAATCTGTGCTTGCACTTTTTCCACGAGGGAGGTTTCATCGTACGTGAAATTAGTCACGATCACAAAGGGTTACGAGTTCTCCAACAACGGAGCCGTGGGAATCGAGGGAACAAGCTCGTTCTCGCCAACGGGAAGAGCCACTAACGCGCTAGTTTTCTGGTTCTTCGTGAAAAGTGGAGAGGCGTCGCTCGCTAACGGAAGTGGAAAAGACGACATAGTTAATTATCCGTACGACGGTTCAAAGGAACATGAAAGGGTTTTATAGTTGACGAGGTTACTTCTCAACTCGTTTAGCAAGCTCTTGAGTAGATGCCACGGTAGAGACGTACCTCGGGGTCGGCATTCCTTTACGGAAGCATTCACGAGTGCCTAGTACGTATGTGATAAACATAAAGGAACGAGGAAGATTGCTGAATATATAATGCGTCTAGCTAGCAATGTGTCAAGACAAAAGGGTTATTCGTCTTCATTCGCAACATCAACAACCATTGTCAAGTCTAAGACACAACAACATTAATAATCCATTTACGTAAAAGTATATCTGATTGTATTATAATTGCAGAGTTTGATATCCCGATCATAAGCTAGATATCTTGCGAATTCAATTTGTTTACGTTTCGTCCAAAGTTTAATAGCGGTATGAGGCTAAGCATGCATACAGTAGCCAGTTCTAACTAATTTGGCGCAACGCTTTGAACAAACAGCGCGCGATTATGATCGAGGTCTACCATTCGACGCCGAAATGAAACACTTGAACTGTTTGGAAACTAGAATCTATAGTTTACAGCGTTTGTATCGCTAACTCGCGCGAAACGAGCTTCAAAGACCGTAATTAATACAGAAATGAAACGTCGTCGAATCTGAAGGTTTTGGTATCGATGTTCACGAATCGAATAGATTCGTTGATTTTATTAAACGATCGTAAATTATCTCGCACACTATCGAGGCTAAACGAAGAAATAGATAACAATAAATACTATCCGTTGCAGTAGAACATAGATCTTTGTTTTCTGGATTTATTTCTCAGACCTCTGTGAAAACAAAAGCAATTCTATCGAGGCCAGCACTTACACGCAAATAAATTTATTGTTTGTCTTTGAAACTTTTCGAATTGCAATCTAACCAGCCACTCCTTTTCCGCGATATTCTCGATATTTGCCAATTGCATCTACCATACGTATCTGCAAAATTAATTCAACCTTATAATTCATTAGGGAGTTCAAGATTTTTTATTCGAATGAAAATTTATCCTAATATATATATAGTTGAATAAATCACTGTACGGTGCTTCTATTTATAATCTACGTCTCGAATGAAATTTTACCTCATCTCTGATATCTGCCAACTGTTTGATCCTCCTGATAAACGACAGTTTCGACACTCGAAGTTCTTATCCACGGAGTATCTGGAAAATGTCTTGGAACGTTAAGGCGCGCGTTCCATTTTTGCACCATGACGTTAAGTATTAGAAAGTTCCTCGCAGGTTTGCCAGAGCAAAGCAACTCGTGCGTGAACGTCGAGGAGAAGTCGCCGTTGCCATCCACAAAGCGTCGTTGTGCCGCCAAACAACGGTTTCCCGGCGAAAACCTTTCGCTGCGCAACAAACAGATGCACAAAGAGAATACTGCATGCTTGCAACATTGACGTTCCTACTCACGTATGCGTCTTCTTTTTCGCAGGCCTGCCGTGGATCGCAGCTGGACGCGGGGGCGACAATTATGCATGAGACGGATAGCATAGACACCTATACCATCCCCTCCTATGCGGACATTATGGTTGCCTACTCCACTTACGATGGTACGTAGAGACACGATGCTCGCAATATTGTTCATAGTTGTGTTGTTCATTGCATGAATCGATTAGCAATGCATTAATCGTACCAGTAATCATAAATGTTACTACGTGAATGTACAACATTCCGCGGCCTTTAGACAGACTCCCCCACTATCGAACGCGATGCGTAGACTCTTCCTGTTCCACGTGCTGGAACAAACTTCTTATTTTACGAGTCGGGGCGTACAACAATGCTCGAGTCAGGTACGTGCTCAACGAGGAAGCGCGCGGAACGAAGTGCGTCGCTTTTTTTCCAGTCGTGAGAAATTGTTCTTTAGAATTGTGCGTTAGCGAGATTGTCTCTCTGCGTGGAAGTAGATACGTGTATAACTGGATGGCTTCCACGCGTCTATAGGACGAATTCTATTTGAATACATCGCTTTATAATTGCTAGCATCTCGCTGCAAACAATTATGCGAACTTGGCGTGTTAATGTGCACACTTGGAACTATTTTCTTTTCATCATTTTGATAATATTGTCGTTAATATGGGCAAAAGTGTCCCTTTACCGGCGTCGTTTAAGTAGCTTTTTTTATCCTCTTTCGTCGAGAGGAACTTTGCACGATATAAACACTGTTTTTATTCGATTAGGTTATAAAGAAAATTTCTTGGACGCCTTTACCCTACTTTCGCCTTAAATGGGATATTACTCTCCTTTGTTCTTGGTATGGTACAGCTTGCCAAGAGAAGCTCAACAGATTATGATAAAGAACCGTGCAATCCCATAGAATTAAAGATCTTTTAAGGTAGTAAAAATGGTGATTCGTTTCTACGTCATTCTACGTCAACTACTTAAGGTCTTCTGGTTTGAGTTGGCACTTAGTGGATTGGATGAGATGAAGTCAATATAGACTATTCCCGATTCGGTATTAATCAATATTTTATTCTGAGATATAGTCAGAGAAGTCTGCAGGACTTTATTACTCCGGAATTTAGCACTCCAGATAATGAAAACGTAACGAAAGAGCAGAATTTCTCTTGTACGAAAAAGCTTCACTCGGGATGATAAGAAATTTCGCTTAGAATTTTGAGAAAATGCAGGTGAATGGTCGGCTTTTATTTCGTTGAGTAGGACACCGATCCTTAATCGCGAGGGTAGTCGTATATTTTAAATTTGATTATAAATTACGCGTCAGGTAGCATCCGAATTAACATAGAAATCAGTTCGGGGGAGGATTCTATCGACAGCCTTCCAGCACGTACAGATGTACGCTGTGAAAGCAATTTATCCGATTTAGTGTATCCAGATTTGGGTGATACAGCGTATCGATGCGTGTGTGATCAGCAATTGCAGGCAATGGCCATTTGGAATATTAGGCTTAAGGCGGGGCGACCTATCGACAGCCTAAATAACTCAATCGGTAACAACGGTCGTTCGGCAAATAAGATTAAGAGTTCAATCCTTGTCCAACACGCCCATTGGCAAATTCCATCGTGATTAGTTTGAGTTTTTATTCAGAATTACCGATCGAAATAGATTCCAAGTTCCGAAGCCTTTCACGTAATTTCAACGGAAGAAAATTGTACGTTCCACCCTGTATATGGTATAGCGCTCGTGGATGCTTCAAGTACGGCTGAACTATGCGACCGTAGGGGCGTAAATGAAAACCCCGCATCGCGTTAATAATTATTCGCGGAGACTAGTTAATTACCCCCGAGGGATTGGGTCGATGGGAAAAAATGTACGCCGTGCCAGTTAACTGGGGAAATCGGCTTGCATCCTCCCTGGGGAGTTTCTGTGTTTGTCGTCGACTCAACCCCTAAACCCCTTTTCTTCGTTGCTGCGAAATGTGCTTTGGTAAAATAAGCGATTTAAGATGGCCAGAGAAGAAACGAAATTATTTACACGATACCCTGCAACGGACATTTTGCTGAGCAAACTCATTCGAGGAGATGACATTTTTCCTCGGTTTCGCAATTTTCGAAAGTTAGGATCTTTTCAGAGATCGGTGAAATTCTCGAATGAAAAGTTAAAGATGAACTACTTTCGACTCGATATTTATCCAATCAAGGTGCATTTTATCTAATACCTCGTGAAGAATCAGCTACCAGAGAATAATTCTCTAGGTGTTCATAATAATTCCCGTTAACTTCTTCAAAAAATTAGCTCGTCAAATCTGAACGTTTCTCAGTTCAGCGAAATTCGAGATTTTGATCGTCAAAAAATCCCGAGAAAAAAGCATCAACAGAACTATTCTCCCACTGTTCGTGATAATTCCCGAGAGAGCCGCTCGATTCGCTTTGTGTGACGTATCCTGTGTATCTCATCAGGCAGCTCTGTATGCACAGATGCGTTGGGTAAATACTTGGTCTTGTGTGCAGCCAAGTAAGCTGCTTACCCAAAGTGACACGTCCCGGAGTGATGGGACTAGACGTTCTACAGTGGAAAGGTGCGAACGGGAAACGAAGGCTTTGCAGGCTGGAATCGTTGGAACGATCTTCACTTTCGAAAGAAAACACTTAGGGGCGTCCAAAGTTTATCAGTGAAAGAGGATGAGCACGGCAGAGGGACGCTAGTCGTTGAAAGCATTCGATTCAATTAACCCCGGGACATTTGTTGGCCGGAAATTAATTGAAGAGTCGGCGTTTAACGATGACGTTTAATTAACATTGTCGGTTAATTGGATGGACCGCTCGTTAAAATGATCACGGTGGTGGCTCGCGAGTATGCGACGTTACCGTTGCTTTGGTTTCGACAGTTTCTTTGTACGTTGAAACCGAGAGCAGGAGGACAGGGAACCAATGCAATAGTCGATACGCGATTGTTCGTTAGACGAGTGGAACGACGGATTTATTGTCCGTCGTTGCGGATATCATTGACTCGTATCACTAGCCGGACATCGGTTTCATCCGTCGTGTCATCGAAATGACAGAGTAAAATATTGAGCTCGCGCGTCATTTTCGAATCGTTAGTCGGACGATTTGCGTCACCCGAAAACAAACGGTGTCAATTGACGGAGGAACAGTGAACGCCGACGAATGGGATTTATTGGTTTAGTTTAATCGTTCGTGAACGATTCTCAACGTGTGAGTGTCAACGCGACCAGAAGGGTAATTAATTGTGTAATCAGCAGACTGGCTTATTTGTTGGTTCGTGGAATGGGGACGTGAATCAACCGAACTGACCGACGCGGAGGACTTTGAACGACGAGCATTTTTATTTCGCGAAATTTTATTTACACGAAACAGATCACTCGAACAACACGTTTATTTTTGTATGATAGTCGAACATGATCGAAACAAATCTTAGTTCCCAACACGACGCAATCGCGAATGTGATTTGATTTTCTGATCTTGCGACGTAAGAGGATAACGTGACTACGCAAATCCTTACACGGTCCAAACGTTTACGCTGTCAACGCTAATGGCGCGCGAGGATTTCTGTAGACTGTGGGACGCACAGCTGGCACAACGGCACGATGTTAATGTTGGTGTCAGTCAAACGGCACTCGTGCATATATCGGTACCCGCATTAGGCAGACCCTGATTAAATCTAACCGTTCTAGAACTTCATTATGTATCGGATTGCGTAATAGGGGACGCTTAGATTTTAAACAGGCGCATGCTCAAAGCACATCGTCACGGGTACTGCAAATACAAAAAAAACTTTGTAAAATCGATTTCTAAAATGTACTTCCTCGCTGAAAAATGATTCCAATTCGTACATCTAGTCACGAACAAAACCTGCGCAAACCAAAAGGCGACGACAATCCGCAGGTGCATTTCAAAGTAGCCATTGTTCGTACAAACGTAATTTTAGTTCATACTTTATCGAGACACCATAACGAAGTTGTTAATCGACCCGATAGTTACCCGAACGAGACCCCGGCTCCCGGGCAAAACTGAAACGAAACAATCATGAAAGTTGAATTGCTTCCCCGATTACTTCAGGACAGTTTCTAACGAAACAATAAGCGGTCGCGACGGATACTTAAATAGCGTGTTTTACTCGCGATCAGCGCGTAATATATGATATTTGCGTTTGATTCGCGACGCGTTTTCAATCTGAAAAGGGGATTGCTGGCAATCGAATTGTTCGCAAAATTATTCGATAACGTTCTCGATGTTTCCGATGACAAAGCGTCGATACTGTTTCCTGTGTATCGAATGAAACGAAAATCGGATACATCGGCGCGAGCGTTGTTAGCGTTTAACAGTTTCGAGCTTTTTGTTTCGCGCAACCAACGAAGCATCCGCTTGAAAACTGCTGTGTCAAACTGCTTTTGGCGTATTTTGAAGGGAACAAAATCATTATACGCGTGGTTACGTATCCCGAAATAACGAAAGGCGGTTACGTCTATTTATTCGAAAACCGTAGGCGATAGTAATGAAAGGTTCTCCAAAGTAGTATCGAGAGTCCATCATTTAATTATTGTTCGTTACATCGCTGGGAATGTATCCTATCGAACGTAATGGCAGGCTTTGTTCATTGGTTCGATTTGAAGTTTACACACAACTGCTATGGTATTACTATTATAGTGTCCGCGCCTCCCATACCCAACAATAAGGAGTGAAATAAAAACACGAAACGTAGAGTACGGGATTGGTCTTGTAGGTAAAGCGGTCGACTGTGGATCCGAGGATCGTGGCTTCGAATCCCCGTGCCTTATTTTTCGTTTAGACTCCTACACTATTAAAAAGGAAACAACTCGAGTCAAACGGTGCATTCACGGATCGTGTAATAAATCTTGGATCGCGATTATGCATGTTTATTCTCGTTTCAATGGAATCCGCGGTTACAAAGAGCAACGACAGGAATACGTTATCGAATGTTAACCGGATCAATTTAAATTACATTGAATGGCCGATGTAATCTCGAAAATGCATCATTCCGTAATTGTTCGGTTACATCGGCACCGCTGTAAATGCATCTCATTAAACGTAATTGTAGACTTCGTTACGCGGTGCGCGAGGTTTATTTCCACGCTACTGGTTCAATTTGGAATTTATGCGACATTACGTCGATATATTTGCGAATAATTCACAACCTGTATAATACTTTCACCGGAACGTTCTTTCTGATATCGTCACGAAATTTCTACAGATGTAAAACTTCTGCACGAACTCGTAATTTCATGCGATCACAGGAATTCGCTGAGTTCGTTTAAATTATATCGATTATTCGCAAAGCGAGCCACAGGTTCGGTGAGGTTACAGTTATAAAACACTTATTTGAAATCGTCGTTTCCGAGCTTTGAAGAATCGATCGAGGCGAGGAAACTTTCTTAACTTCTTCTTGCTTTTATTTCTTGACAATGGAAACGAGAAACCTCACAGTTTCTCGTATATTTGTCTTCGGAAACGTTCGAGAAGTTCCACACACCTAGAGTGATAAAAGAAAGGGTCGACTTGGAAATTTACGACTAGTAAAATGTCAATGTTTAAGCACCCAATTTGTTCTCATTCAAAGCTACGCGTATTTCTTCGCTAGAAATTTTTCATTTTCGACGCGTTCTCGAAAGTGACCCTTTTTCGACGTTGTCCTATCACGGTAACGTCTAAAACTGTCTACGCCGGTCTGTAACAAGATACACCCGGCTCGCGCAGGCTCGTCGAGGCGGGTGCTGGTATTTTAAAAGTTTTTGCTCGATTGTCTCCAGCCTCCATGACGCGAGTTGCACGCTTTTCACGCCTCTCCCGGTACTTCGCGCCAGCCAGACCGCGTATACATCTCCGACAGCCGCGTTAAGGGAACCTGGGCTTCCGTTCTCGTCTATTGTGATCGATAACGAGGAACAAAGTGCCTCTCCGCGAGGCAGGAAGCCCAGAGCGAAAAGTGCCGCGAATACCGAGTCGACGACAGAAAAACCTCCCGGCGAAACTGCTGCTTTTAGAGGGACGGTTGCCGGCTCGCTGCGAGCACTTTTTCGGGGCCCTTTCTTCCCGCGAACCGGATGGTAATGAGATACGATTAGATTCGTCGTCTAGATTTTACCGTTGAAAACTGACGAGGAACATCCGCCAAGTGTCCCACAAGCCCCTTTTTAATGAAACTTTGCAAGTTCGTAAAGCGGCCAACAATATAGGACACGATTTTCTTTCGGGGACGGTAACTCGAGTTTAACGCTCTTCTGTTGGCGCGAACGGAGACTGTACATTCGATGGTAGTTTTTCGTAGGGGATTTATGTTGCACTTAGGAACTAGTATCAATTTTTTTCCCCCTACATATCTTTTATGTGATTATCATTATCGCTAGATGTTTCGGTATGTTTCGAAGCGTGTACCACAAGACAATTTCACGTGTATGGATCTAATTTACGCGCAATCGGGATGGATGTACGATTAGATGGCTCAAACGGTGAATTAGCGATGAGTTACTGGTTCGGTTCAGGGGATTCAACGATGATACCTTGTGTATGACGGAACGTTTATGAATACATTATGACAAACGACAGAACTTTAATAGTTCGGAATTCGCAAGCATGAGGAATGGCATACGTGTGTTTGACTGCTTGATGTGTTGTTGATAAACGACTGTACGCAGTCGGAGCGAGTGATTCAGTATGTCCGATTGAATACCCGACGAGTCGCGTATCGCAAAATGTCGAACTTATTTCATAAATAATAGGAACGTGTTAGTCTAGTCAATCCAGAAACATAGAACAATACAATAATTACTTTGAAATTAAGAACGATATTCGATTTTCTTCGTTGACAGAGTAGTAAAGAGAGGTATTAAACTATGATGAATTTGATCCTTCCGTAATATGGAACAGGTTAACAATTAAGAATCTGAGAGAAAAGCGTAATTAATGAAGCTCGAGAAGGTTTTGTACCCGTGTTATTTATTAATTAATTTCAGCCTCTTGGCCGGAGGAATAGACTTGATTTCGTATTAGTTTTCGTTCACCTTTCAACTCCTCGCATCTTAATTTGCTTTACATCTCACCGCTTTTATTAGATATGATTTTATTACGCCGACTATAGAATTCCCTTCATTTTCGCCCTTGGCCAGTTGATTGTTCCACCATAATTACTTTCGTACGATCTAAAAAAATGTCGGTTCCTCGCGGCATCGATGTTCCAGCGATCCAGGCGCGAGTGTTACATGTACAGACAGTCGAATTCGGGAGACGTATACCAGTATTAGTCGGATATCCAAAGATACGAATGGCGTTACATCACGCGAGTTCACGGGAGTACGGTTTTTGCGGGGTGAAGACGATCGCTCGGCGGCTCTGGAAAGTGACAATGCTATATTCCTTCACTCCGCGCTGCATTAGCGTTCTGAAAGTAACGCTCTGATCTCCTTTGTCTCGGCTGTTTCCGCCTATTGTCGGCCCGCAAGTATCCTCCGCCCCGGAATCGAGTGATATTTTCATCCGACGCCCGATCCATCATAAGCCGCGAGATGAAACGTTCGCGTGAATCTAACGACCGCGGTCTTTGTTCTTCGTAATTAAGTCGGAAACAGCTCTGCTCAGACATATTTACAAGGGCAACGGTAGAACGAACCCTTCTTTCAATATCAAAGTGGAGGGTTCAGCCAGACGTAACAAAACGCGTTGAAATCGATGTTTACATGCCTTCACTTCTTCCTCTTGTTTTCAGATTTCCATATACCTATGGATTAAAAAATTGTCTCGTTTTCCTTGATACATCCCCAAGAAAATAGTTCGCAACGCTCTTCTAGTCTCTCTGAGACCCGCGTAATCTCCTCTAATCTCGAAGCTTCAGAGTAACTCATTCTTCGTTTTACATTTAAAAACGTGCCGACGAACGGAAAGACAATCGCATCGAATATGAAACGCGTCATTAAAATGCGGAAATTGCTCGTCGCCTATCCAGGAATGGGGATCGAACCGTCGGGGGATAAAAACGGAAGTCCATGCGAGCGAAAGAAAAAGTAGCCTTCCCTGAAACGTTGGAAATCATTTTCAAAGTACAATTAATCTTTCACGCCAGGGCAAGAGCTTTCTAAGAGACTCGCGCATTTACACGGCATGTACGAGTCCGCTTATCTATATACGTAGATACGTACACGTACACGTCTCCCCTCCCCCCCCCCGCCCCGTCGCACAGCTCTTCAAGTTATTTCTGCAAACCGACCCAACCAGCCATTAAGCCCGATATTTACCCCCGGCGCGAGCTTCGCGAAAGCAACTAATGACCTCATCAAGGACCGTCCATCACGTGAGAATGCGCTGTCTTTATAAACACAATACATAAACAACACGATACGCGTGGACGAAGGCGGCCGTGGGGGCGGACTGGTGTTCGTACAAACTCGTTTAGATCTGTTTAATCTGGCAACTTCGTTGGTGGTTTTCCTGATTTCTTGCGCGTTCAAGTTCGCCCGCAATTTCGTGGGAAAACAGGAGCATCGAAGCAGGGGTGAATTACCATCAAGAGCGGGATCGTGTACAGGGTGCTTCACAAGTACGTGACGGCACTTAAAGAGGCGAGGCCGCAACGCGAGTCGTGGTACACCGATCGAATTGGAAATGATTTTGCGTCGCTGGTATTTTCGGAAACGAACCGATGACAGAATTTTCATTACAGCGAATAATAACGATATAAAAATATTCTGATAATTACCTAGGGGAACTATTACGAATACGAATAATCAAAGGTGACTATGAAGAGAACGAAATCGAAACAACCGTCCCAAACAACGTGATTGATTAGCGCCAACGTTTTGGGATGCATTTGATTGGCATACTTTGCCTGTCTGTTCGCGCAATACTATCCAAACATAGATTACGTAATCCGATATAATTTTCCCACGAGATAATCGTCTCCTTTGATGAAATCTTACGAGAACTGCTCCTAACCGACGAGCTCTTGTCGCTAATAGCTGGGTCTTGGTTAGGGAATTCGAGACATTGTTAGAGGAGCATCTAATTGAGGAGAGCAATTGTGCGGAAGAAGCTTCTCCTTAATGATACTCATCCACAATGGCGCGATTTATTCGCGCCCAACTAATGACGTTTCAAAGGAGGCGCCAGGATTAGTTGCCTGTTTGTTACCCTTAATTTGGTATTCTTGCGCGTCACGACCTTCGTTACGGAGAAGAACAATTATTATAAGAGACACTCATTTTCTGTTATTGAACGATCAATTTTCTTTAAGATAGTTGTTTCTGAGGATATCCCCGAGGGTGAAAAACTTGCATGGCACTCGATTACCAACTACCAATCACCAGTGGTACTCCTGTTACTGTTAGATAAGAAACCCATTTCTACGATACATTTTGTACGGAGTATCATCAAAACGATTCATTACACCGAAACCACGGTTTCGTTAAAAGCGAAAGCCAATCAATCGGTGACAATCGACGATCGTTTTTTTGCACGAACACGGACTAAGCAGCGTTAAAAAGTCGGCTCTTGAGTGACGTTGAAATCGAAGAACTGCTTTGCCCGCAGCAAAAACGTTCCCCCGCAATTAACGGCGTTTTTCTTAACGACGTGTCTTTTACTTTAATGGAAACGCTTCGTCCGTGATAAATCTGCACTGCCGTTGGAAACGGGCAGCTCCGTTTTCTAGGCGTTCGTTTACGGGGCTCGCGTATGAAAATGCACTCGTGCAAATATTGTTCCGAACGGAAATCATTTTACCATTGGGACGTCGCAAAAGCTGCGATTCTTGGGAAGAATATTCATGTGCCATTAGATAATCGAATTGTCATACGATTCGCCATATTGTTCGTTTCTGTTTCAGATACTTCAACATTAGCCATCTGGTAAGTAGTCGTAGTTAGATTAAGTTTTTAGTGGATGATTTTCTCACGATAGCTGAACAATTTAAAGCATCGAAGAGGACCATCAAATAATCGAAAGGCTTGAAACGACGTCATGTAATAAACATCGCATTGATCAACTTTCAGGCTTCTTTTCGTGGCGAAACCCAGACACTGGTTCCTGGTTCATACAGGCTCTATGTTACGAGCTAAACTTGAACGGCGACAAGCGTGATCTAGGCACCCTAATGACATTCGTTAACCGACGAGTCGCCATCGAATACGAATCGTACGTGCCCCAGGACAAGAATTTACACAAGAAGAGGCAGATCCCGTCTGTCGTATCCATGTTGACGCGGTTAGTGTACCTTGGTCAAGTACCAGTCGAGCACTAAATTCTAAATCTCATCTTCGAAACTATTGGATTAACTGCAGAAATAGTCGGAAAAATAAAAATAAGCGAGTTTAATACGAAGAAATTGCGTAGCGAATTACTGTATTAACAGATGACCTGATTTACGAATGGCTCCGATGGAATGTTTCCGAACTGTCTTGTATATTTTAATTCAGAGCGACCAGATTACACCGCCATTCTCTGGATTCCTTTCTCGCTGATACAGGATTCCATCGGTTCTAACGATTGACGTTGCACACGGACGAAATTACTAAACGCAAATTTCGGCTTAATATCGCTGCCTGATCCAATTACGCGGTGAACGCGCTCATCGTCGAGAAAATAGGGAATTTTCGATTCCGTGTTAATTAATGAGGGCCTTAACTAATAGGATCGATGTAAACATGGTGGTGCTGATACAACCGATCAGGAACGTGATTTCGGCTCGAGTAACCAAAAGAAACTATCGATACGATCCTCGCAATCATATATGCGCTGTTAAAGGTTAATTGATTTGTGATATAATAACATTCATATCGTAATTATAAATTTTCTGTACAATACAGTACGTGGAAATGCGCTGATCTTCCTCGCCAGTTCCACCATTGTTGTTATGCCTATTATAATTTGTGATATCTACAAAATGAATTTATACATCATGTTAATACACATTTTTAATCAAAAATTGTAAATACAGGCAATATTAATCATGCAAGGAGTTCATTTTGTACCACCCAGTATTTTATTATTTCAGAGCCAGTAACCAGAGTGTTGACTTTAAACAAATTCAAAGTCACTTCACGAGAAACCTTGAAAAATGTGCTTTGTTTACTGTAAGGAACGCGTGGTGATATTTTTGTATTACTTGGTCGCGGTTTACCTAGATGCTGGTTCGGTAGTTTATGCTTCAGTATAAACAACGATTTGCACCGTGCAAGGATGAACATTTCTCTGGGCGTTCGCAATAAAAATAAAATTTCTTTACAGCTACGAAGGAGCGCTTGCGAATGAAAATCCTTTCGCAGTCGCATTCACCGACTGCGAGTGCGAGGAACGAGCGTTATAATTGATTCGGCAATTTCGCGTCTTCAATTTGCAGCTCATTCAGAAAATTTCCTCTGACTATGAGCGATCACCCGGTAAGTAATGGGTAATTAACTCCTCGAAATGTAAATATTATTCTCAGAGTGAAAGTAACGTTCTCCGCGTGCCTCGAGAAGTCCGATCACTACTGTTTATATACAACATCTGCTAACCCACCCAAACCAGGTTAACCCTCCTTTTATTTCGTGGTAATGGTATTTCTGTATATTTTTCGTCCCATCGAGGCAAATTAGGCTCCGACAATGCGTTGACCATCGTTTTCATCATTGGCGTAGAATAGAAACGCAAAATGAGGAAGGGAACATAATTTCTCGAAATGCCTCTAGTTCCCTAAAATGTGTAATTAGAGAGCCCAGCCATTGTGGTCCAAGTCCAGTTAATTTCATTTTGTGTAAATTGACTTTAGAGTGCAATTACAACCGCTGGATTGCAAAACTACGCAACGCGTCAAATATACAGGTAGGATGCATTTGTTCAAATATACGGGTCCTTTCACGTGCGCAATTCAGACAAATTATATTTCTGTCAATGGAATATAATTAATTTAATTAAGAACGAATCGCATCTGTTGCCTTCACGCGTACTGATTTAAATGTTGAATATTAAACGTACCATCGTATGGACTTTTAAATATCGGTTGACTGCAAGGTACACAGGTTGATTAAAAAATTCGTTATTTTCAGTAAAAACAAAACGGTTGAAATAACAGTTTTGCTCGTTTCGTTAGAAGAAAAGTTCTCTTGTCTGTGTAAAATAAAAAACCTCGTCACGCCGTGAAATCAGATAAAAGAAAGTATACTGTTAATACATTCTCGATGAAATTCTTGTAATTATGTCAGCGATACACCCTGCATTTCGCTGTATTTTGTAACTGACGTTATCGCACGACCCATGCAGGATAAGGAAGATATTAAGCGTATTACAACTCTGTATTAAACGATATTCGTTTCGTCTCTTATCAACCGAAAACCGATTATAGTATCGACAACTATGAATTTCACAATGACAGTTCAATTTTCTTAGATTATTTATTCACGGAACTGTTTACACAGCAAGCTGTATATTATCGACTGTCAAGACGAATTCTAAATTATAGATTCAATGTTCGGATAAAGCTATCAACGTCTGCGAATGTGCACTTATTTTGTTTCGAGTCGTTCGGTATACCTCGGTCACCGATTCCCGTTGGAAAATCAAGTGAAATTTATTCAGAAAGTATGAATCTTGGAAAGAACAATCGCGTTCGAATACTCTCGTTCGGAGGGTGTACTGTAAATCGAATTCGGCCTAATCACACGTAAATTCAACGGAATCGGAGGTCTTGGTTCACCAAGAGTTTCATCAGCACGGTTCTAGAACTACTTTCGCGTCAAAGGAAAACCGGGTCCCGAGATGCAGACGTCTGTTTGACCGTGCAATGACAATTCGATTCCACCTCGCTCCGTTCCCGTCTTCTTAGGCTAAGTGGATCCTCGAGGCAAACTGAGCATGATAGAGCTACGGCTCGTTTGAGACACGGTTAAAGGGGTTTCGTTGTACAGGCTACGGAATCCTGGCTCGCGGCTGCTGACTAACGGAAGTAATCGTGCAAGAAATAAATACAAAAATATACAGAGATAATCCTACTGTTCTAAAGACGCACGGTGAGCGGACAATGTTTCCCTGTTCAAAATTTTAACAAAGCGTGATTTTTACAGAGCTTGTTAGGCAAAGACATGAAGCAATTGGGAGAGGAAATACGATTATATAATCATTAGGGATCGGCGCTACTTTTGAACGTTTACATGAAATATAAATTGAGAATATTTTTAACTACTAAATCTATTTAGCTTAATAAACAGTATGATACACGTACAATCGCACCTAAGAAAGGATAACTTCGACGCAAACAACACAACGATCCTGCCAAGCAAACTGAAGATTGATTTCTGCTGCTTAATTTTACCCTATTATCGAAACCATTCGTTCCCTTCGCGATAAGGGTCTGACCTATTCCGTCTCGACAAAGCCACAGCGTGGCTCCGACTGGCGTTACAACGTCGGCCATCGCGAGAAACTTCTCTGTAACGGAACGGTGCACTTCGGTGAGCAGTAGAGTGTCACGTTGGGTTCCGGTCCGCGAAGTATCTTACTCTTCGAGAATCGCAAAATTATGCTGCCAAAGACGTCCGTGCCAGGCAACGATCCAACGACATTTTCAAATTTAATAATTCACCCGATGAACCAACGACAAAACGAGCCCACCCAGTAGTCGTGGACACGAGGCGAGCACCCTCTCGAAGTTGAACCACTCGAGACCGAGCGGGTGACTGGTTCGATCCATCAAAGGATCACGGAACCAGGTGCGCCTGCCACTTTATCGAGCATCGCTGCTTCGTAAAATGCACTCGTACTTTGAGAAATCGTAGTTGGGAGTGTCATTTTCGACGAGCATTTCGTGGACGTTCGAGGTACTACGACATCGTCAGGCTTGCTCATAACTTTTTAATTCTGAGACTCTCGATATATCTTTCTGTTTTTCACTTTGTTTGTGTTTTTTTTTTTTTCTTAACTTCTTGCATCACATTCTTCACATCTGTTGTGGCCCACTAGGCCTATAGCTCGGGCACCTTGGGATCGCTAAACCCGTACTGTAGCTACGATCAAACATAGATACAGCCCCTGAGGGCATTGAATAGCTGGAAAGTAAAAGTCTGTTTTTACTAACAAGGAAAACTCTCTACATGATGATATTTATTAAGATTGTCCACGTGTTCAGACTTTAAAAAATATACTTGATAATAAACGTCGTAAACGTATCTTGAATTTCATTCGTTTAGATGTATACATATTTTCCTCCTCGAAGCTCGGAAAGCAACGTTACCTCTGACTTCCGTCATCGGGGTTAACGCAATTTTCAGGTCACCGAACGTAGACGCTAATTTGTTTCGCGATATTCAAACGTAATGCACGGAGCTGGAACGCAGACCTTCGAAACGACTGTTCTGGAACCACTTGAAGCCGAAACTCAAAACTGGAACGTCGCAGGTGCGATTTTAACCGAAGTACAACGTTCGAGGCGGTCAACAGTGAATTATCACTTGTAATTAGGGAATACATTTCAAATTAAACATTATCCAAGAACAATTAATTGGTCGGTTAACCACCTAAAAGTAATGAATTCTGGGATTCCTTGAACGGACTTAATGTAAAATTGGAAGCTAAATCAATTTGCAACCCCCGTCGCGCGTTTTCGAAGAAAGATGGAACAGTAAGCGAAATCCTCGACACTGAAATATTACCCTACCGTGATGTCTCGCGGATGCTTCCATTAATCAGTCTAAATATTTATTTGAGAGCAACGAAATTGAAACGGAACAGACGGGACCGAAGGATTACAGCCGAGCACATTCGCGACGAATTTGTACGCGCCGTCGTAGTCCGTGGAAATTAATGTTTGCTGCAAATTGGATATTTTTATTTCGCGTATTCTCCCGGAATTCGACCATATTTCATTGACTTTCATCGCGATGTGCTCGCCTAGACGATATACGACTCGTCTGCCGATGAAACTCGCTCGAATTCCAATTAATTCCAACGAATGCTCGTTTTCGGGAATGGAAACTTCCCTCTAAGACCTTTCCACTTCATTTTTGTTCCGACTCCGGCATTGTCATCGAAAAAACATCTGACGTATTTCACCCTACACGATGCACCTTTGCCCGACAAAATTAATAACGACGCTTGACTCATAATTAACAACAGAGGCAACTTGGAGCACGTCACGCGTAACCACCTAGTTTCGACATTTTCAACAAGTTACGAACATTCGGTGACATTTCAATTAGCATCCTTGAATTGTTTGCCCGTCGAGCGGGCCGCAGCACAACTCGTAAATTAATTGTACATCAAATTATCCTTTAATCAGCGGCGTTAATTTCGGCGTCGAAATAATGATTCCGCGGTAATTACGACGTTTCGATGCTCGCATAATCCACCAGCGATGAATCGGACGTTCCGTGAAATCGAATCCAATTAATTTTATCCTGGGCCAAAACAAGTGAAAATGAACATGCCGCGCGACTCCGAAGGGGTGAGTCGAAATGAGAATAAATGTATATATTCGAAATAGGAAGGAATGTGTTCAAGATGAAAATTAAACGTCTTGTCATGAATCAATTAAATCAAATATTTATATTGTAGTGTCCGCGCCTCCCATACCCAACAATAAGAAGTCAAATAAGAACACGAAACGTAGGCTACGGAATTGGTCGCGTAGGTAAAGCGGGGTCGACTGTGGATCCGAGGATCGTGGCTTCGAATCCCCGTGCTTTATTTTTCGTTTAGACTCCTACAATATTGGAGCAATACTATTGAAAATATTAGAAATATCGAATACATTTATGATATTGAAAATACGAGTAGTATGATATATACGATTAATAATGAAAATACAAGAAATATCGAATGTACGATTCACTTTTTTCTTGCTTTCATACGCGCCATACGCTTGAAAGCAAGTAATCATTCAACACTCACAAAGCTTCTCATACGGTTTGCTCGATTGGAACACGTTATCTCCACCTCGTTTCGCCATGGAATCCTTATTTCACGTTATAGACAACA